AAAAATATAGCATTTCCATTGACGAAAATCATAGAAATACTCTAAATTTTGATTTAAATTGGCTTTACAGCTGTTTTTTATGTGCTGCAACTGATCAGAAGCTAGAAAATTTCCATCAATTTTTGACAATTTTTCTAAGCCTATAGCCTTGGTTTTTGACAATTTTTCAGTAACAAAAAACATGGCATTTCCATTGACGAAAATCATAGAAAAACTCTAAATTTCGATTTAAATTGGCTTTAAAGCTGTTTTTTATGTGCCGCAACTGATCAGAAGCTAGAAAATTTCCATCAATTTTTGACAATTTTTCTAAGCCTATAGCCTTGCTTTTGACAATTTTTCAGTATCAAAAAATATGGCATTTCCATTGACGAAAATCATAGAAATACTCTAAATTTTGTTTTAAATTGGCTTTAAAGCTGTTTTCTATGTGCCGCAACTGATCAGAAGCTAGAAAATTTCCATCAATTTTTGACAATTTTTCTAAGCCTATAGCCTTGCTTTTTGACAATTTTTCGAGTAACAAAAAACATGGCATTTCCATTGACGAAAATCATAGAAAACTCTAAATTTTGATTTAAATTGGCTTTAAAGCTGTTTTTTATGTGCCGCAACTGATCAGAAGCTAGAAAATTTCCATCAATTTTTGACAATTTTTCTAAGCCTATAGCCTTGCTTTTTGACAATTTTTCGATAATAAAAAATATGGCATTTCCATTGAAGAAAATCATAGAAATACTCTAAATTTGATTTAAATTGGCTTTAAAGCTGTTTTTTATGTGCCGCAACTGATCAGAAGCTAGAAAATTTCCATCAATTTTTGACAATTTTTCTAAGCCTATAGCCTTGCTTTTTGACAATTTTTCAGTAACAAAAAATATGGCATTTCCATGACTAAAATCATAGAAATACTCTAAATTTTGATTTAAATTGGCTTTAAAGCTGTTTTTTATGTGCCGCAACTGATCAGAAGCTAGAAAATTTCCAATCAATTTTTGACAATTTTTCTAAGCCTATAGCCTTGCTTTTTGACAATTTTTCGATAATAAAAAACATGGCATTTCCATTGAAGAAAATCATAGAAATACTCTAAATTTTGATTTAAATTGGCTTTAAAGCTGTTTTTTATGTGCCGCAACTGATCAGAAGCTAGAAAATTTCCATCAATTTTTGACAATTTTTCTAAGCCTATAGCCTTGCTTTTTGACAATTTTTCAGTAACAAAAAATATGGCATTTCCATTGACGAAAATCATAGAAATACTCTAAATTTTGATTTAAATTGGCTTTAAAGCTGTTTTTTATGTGCCGCAACTGATCAGAAGCTAGAAAATTTCCATCAATTTTTGACAATTTTTCTAAGCCTATAGCCTTGCTTTTTGACAATTTTTCGATAATAAAAAATATGGCATTTCCCTGGACTAAAATCATAGAAATACTCTAAATTTTGATTTAAATTGGCTTTAAAGCTGTTTTTTATGTGCCGCAACTGATCAGAAGCTAGAAAATTTCAATCAATTTTTGTCAATTTTTCTAAGCCTATAGCCTTGCTTTTGACAATTTTTCAGTAACAAAAAATATAGCATTTCCATTGAAGAAAATCATAGAAATACTCTAAGTTATGATTGAAATTGTTCAAAAGCTGTTTTTTATGTGTTGCAACTGTTCAGAAGCTAGAAAATTTCCATGAATTTTTGACAATTTTTCTAAGCCTATAGCCTTGCTTTTTGACAATTTTTCGATAATAAAAAACATTGCATTTCCATTGAAGAAAATCAAAGAAACACTCTATATTATGATTTAAATTGGCTTTACAGCTGTTTTTGATGTGCCGCAACTGATCAGAAGCTCGAAAATTTCCGTCAAATTTTGACAATTTTTCTTAGCTTATAGCCTTGCTTTTTGACAATTTTTCAATAATAAAAAACATGGCATTTCCATTGACGAAAATCATAGAAATACTCTAAATTTTGATTTAAATTGGCTTTAAAGCTGTTTTTTATGTGCCGCAACTGATCAGAAGCTCGAAAATTTCCATCATTTTTGACAATTTTTCTAAGCCTATAGCCTTGCTTTTTGACAATTTTTCAGTAACAAAAAATATGGCATTTCCATTGAAGAAAATCATAGAAATACTCTAAGTTATGATTGAAATTGATCAAAAGCTGTTTTTTATGTGTTGCAACTGTTCAGAAGCTAGAAAATTTCCATGAATTTTTGACAATTTTTCTAAGCCTATAGCCTTGCTTTTTGACAATTTTTCGATAATAAAAAACATTGCATTTCCATTGAAGAAAATCAAAGAAACACTCTATATTATGATTTAAATTGGCTTTACAGCTGTTTTTTATGTGCCGCAACTGATCAGAAGCTCGAAAATTTCCGTCAAATTTTGACAATTTTTTTTAGCTTATAGCTTTGCTTTTTGACAATTTTTCAATGATAAAAAATAAGGCATTTCCATTGACGAAAATCATAGAAATACTCTAAATTTTGATTTAAATTGGCTTTAAAGCTGTTTTTATGTGCCGCAAATGATCAGAAGCTCGAAAATTTCCATCAAGTTTTGACAGTTTTTCTAAGCCTATAGCCTTGCTTTTTGACAATTTTCGGTAACAAAAAACATGGCACTTCCATTGAAGAAAATCATAGAAATACTCTAAACTTTGATTTAAATTGGCTTTAAAGCTGTTTTTTATGTGCCGCAACTGATCAGAAGCTAGAAAATTTCCATCAATTTTTGACAATTTTTCTAAGCCTATAGCCTTGCTTTTTGACAATTTTTCGATAATAAAAAACATGGCATTTCCATTGAAGAAAATCATAGAAACACTCTAAATTTTGATTTAAATTGGCTTTAAAGCTGTTTTTTATGTGCCGCAAATGATCAGAAGCTAGAAAATTTCCATCAATTTTGACAATTTTTCTAAGCCTATAGCCTTGCTTTTTGACAATTTTTCAGTAACAAAAAATATGGCATTTCCATTGACGAAAATCATAGAAATACTCTAAATTTTGATTTAAATTGGCTTTAAAGCTGTTTTTTATGTGCCGCAAATGATCAGAAGCTCGAAAATTTCCATCAATTTTTGACAATTTTTCTATTTATTAGAAATCAAAACATAGCATTTTGTTGATTTAAAATCAAAGAGATAGCTACAAACCTAATTGAAATGTGTTTGAGGTCGTTTTTTATGGTTTGCAACTGTTTTGACGAAATGAAATTTCCATCAATTTTGTCTATTTTTTTTGCCTATAGCCTCGCTTTTTCCGAATCTTTTGTTAACAAAAAACTTGGTATTTCTTTGAATTAAAATCATAGATATACCCCCAAATATCATTGAATAGATTTTTGAGGCCAGAATACATTGTTTGAAACTATTGTGAAGCTAAAAAATTTCTAACAATTTTTAAAATTTTCCTTAAGCCTAAGCCTTGGTTTTTGTTTTATTTATTTTTGTTGTAACAAAAAGAATTGTATTAGCTTGAAATAAAGTCATAGAAGTATCCCCTGAATTGGTTTCAAATGTGTTTTGAAGTTGGTTCATATAGTTTACAGCTGTTTTGAGTTAAAAAAAGTTTCCAATTATTTTTGACAATTTTCTTATGTTTATAGCCTTTCGTTTTGTCAGTTATAAGGTTACAGAAAAGCTTGTATTTTTTAAAAGAAAACCATAGATATATCCTTAAAATTGATTTAAATTTGTTTGAAACCTGATTTATATTGTTTGCAATTGTTTTGAAGTTAACAACTTTCACCACTCATTTCTTGCAATTTCGAAAAGCCTACAGCCTCTGGTTATTGTCAGTTTTTGGGTTGCAAACTATAATGTTTTTTCTTTAATTAAAGTCATTGAAATACCCAAAAACATTATTTCAACGTATTTTCAAGCTATTCTATATGGTTTTACAACTGTCTTAGGCTAATTCCCATGATTGTTTAAACAATTGCCTTAACTTTAGTTTTTGACATTAAAGGATTCCTTCAGAAGTAACAAAAATTGTGAATATTTTCATGATGACACTCTTTAATGTCTTCAGAATTGTTTGAGATCTCTTTAATTTGACTTTTGAGCAAGGCAAAAAGAGTTACTGACCAAAATTGCACATACCTTCTCCCAATGGCGAACTTAATCTTTCCTGCTGCGGAGATGGAAATTTCAGCATTTTCTGTATAAGATAAAAAGATTGATAACATTGCACGATTTCAAGTAGAATGTACATAGCATATTTTAGACCTAAAAACTTCCATTAGAAAAACTGTTTCAGAAGAATTTTGTGTAACAGCCTGAACTATATTGTACTAAAACTAAAAAGAATTTAAGTAGCGTAATGTGATATCAACTAAGAAAATTTACCGATGGTTTTTGCTTTTCTTCCCCTTCACATACCAGCTGGTTCCATTGGCGATTTTTCACTTCACACGGAGAAAGTGGGAATTCCACCTGTTATAAGAAGACATAAATTATATACCGTAAAAGCTCTATTAAGCCCCGGGGGGCTTATTCATTTTTTCAGTCCTAGAGGGGGGCTTTAAAGAGTGAAGAGCTTATTAGAGAGAGGGCGCTTATTAAAATTAGCAAAAAATATTTTAAAAATGCCCTTGGCCATTTTTTGTTATGAAAATGCCATACAAATGTTTTAAAAAGCTTTGCTAGCAGCTTCGAAAGTTTGAATAAGCAATTATAAAGTGCTCATTTTCATCAACATTGCCAGGATAAATTGATAACCCTTGGACATCTTCGAAACAAATTTCGACTGAATACTAAGTAGCACAAGTAAGTCTTTACATAGACCGTATTTAATGCACACGATCTTATCATCATCACAACCTTCAGGAGACCCACTAAATGCGCATGCTTTCTGTTTGACATCAAAGGCTAAAGATGGGGAGGGGGCTTAATAGAGTGGAGGGGCTTTTTTACAGTTCTTGCTTGACAAGGGGGAGACTTAATAGAGAGGGGGGCTTAATAGAGCTTTTGCAGTAGTTAATATGAAGTAAGAAAAAATAAAATATAATAAAAGAGCCAGGATTACAGAATATTAGTAGTGAAGATATCATTAAGTAGATTACAAAGAAAGGAAAATGTCATACTTTTTTCCTCTCTTCCTCTGCCAGATCTAGATGCCGTCTCAAATTCTCCAATTGCAAATCCTCGAGAGCTGCAATAAATTTTGGCAGCACATAGTTTTCGCTTCCAACCATAAAATTGGGTCCAACGTTGCAGAACTGGACGTCTAGCTGATTGCAGAATTGCACCATTGAAGTAAATATCACTTTTGCATACGTCCCGCCCAGTGTGGTCACAATGGAAGAGAGTGCCATCTCGTCTGCAAATTGAAAACATTTTGCCTTCAGCCGTTGATGTTCCATAGCTCTACAAGGTGTTTGTTTGACTATTTAGTGGTAAAAGATTAAATCTTCATTTTTTGGCTAAAGTTCATTCAATGTTTTCTTTAGTTAATTCGCTCTAACACACCTTATTTAATGCCTTTATTGCCTTGAAAAAAAGATTGATAAATTGTCTATGATACATACAGTACAAGACTTGTACCTTTGCTTTGCAATTGGCAGAAAGTTTGAAAAAGTTTATTTCCGCTCTTTGCAAATTGCAATGCCGAGCCATATGATTTGTACCCAACAGAGTGGTACCAACAGTAGATGCTTTGTCCACTAGAATCTAGCAATGGCGAAATTCAAGGCCTACATGGTAAATCCTTCCGCAAAAGCTATACAATTAACGTACCATTCTTCGCTGGAAGCAACTTTATTCTCAACGAATGGATCAAACAGCAACTTGCAAATTATAGCAACCTAGAAAAAAGTCTAATGTTAGATGTCGATATGTTAACCCTCTTAACCACTAAATTTGATTGTTTTTAAAAAGGAATAGCGCGTAACAAAAAGTCAATTAGAAATCTGAAAACAGATGCAAATAATTGAAATACATATCGAATATTACTTACATTATCTGTATCAAAGCCTTCTTCGCAATCAGACTTTAACCTCATTGTCACTGACTCCTTGGGCCAATGTCTTGTTGGTAGACACAATGCAGCTTCTTTAGGTCCTTTCCTCCCCGAATTCAAACACTCTTCGCAGCTGCAAACAATGCAAGGAAGTTCCAATTTCTAACCAACTTTTGGAAATACAGTTTGACATCGAAACGTTGCATTTTTCTCGCAGACAAGTATAGCACTACCCTATCAGCCCTCTTGAACGAAAAGAACAGCCACGGCATATTAGGAAAAAAACGAAATTGCTCACAAATCCACAATGCTCCAAGACGTATTTCAAAGTCAATAGTGTCCGACAAAAAGTACTTCAGTATGGGCTGTTTCCGCTATTTCGAGCACTCTTTGCTTACTGTAAAATAATCATATACGATCCGAGTAACGTTCCGAATTTTGAAAAAAAATTGGCTCTTGAAAAAATGCAGAACAATTTGTAAGCTACCATCTTTGTACACAGACCCAACTCAAAGCAGACCATTTGTACATAGCGATCGAAAACACTGTCCAACACCTGGACATAAAGACCAGGGAACACCACGAAACAGCACTTTTTCTGTTTTGAAAACTTGACAGCAGCCATTAACTTTTGACTTTCGAGAGCCGGAAATATTCACATCTTAAGTCAGAGCCCCCACTTCCCCCAGAAATAATTTAATTTGCGCCACAGGCTAGGAAGCGGGTAAAAAAACATGAAAACACTGATAAGATGCAAAACTATCTTAGTAAACTGACCTTGAAACTGGCCTTGTCTTTAGAAAGAATTTCTTTACGAGAATACCACATTCCCCTCCACCATAATCTTGTGTTTGCACTCGCTATTTATTATTGATTGATTACTTTGTGTGTAATGATATTCCACTGAGCATTGGTTCAAAGTAGGGAGCCCTGGTTATACCGAGCCAGATTGCAAAAGTTGGATCAAATAGTGTAAGGCTGTAAAAGAAGAGGTATTTGAATAAGGTCTTAGGATAAATCCAAACAGATTCACAGCAAAAATAACAATTGTGGCAACTGCTTAACATAATACAGAATATCGAGTAACATGTATGCATAAACTAGGCCTATCCCCACCCATTTTAATTTTGGAGCGTACAATTGATCTGTTGTTTATCATTTGAATAACTTTGATAGATTGAATCTTTGAATTTGTATAACTTCGATAGGTATGAGCAAAACGAAGAAAATGCAAGGCTTCACTTGATCAGCAAAGATTCAGCTACATTGTTGTCAATTTAATTAAAAAATTTGCTAACTACCAGTTACGTTCTGTGTGCAAAGCAACAGCATTCAAGCTCCGTGACACAGAGTATATGAATGGCAGAGGAAATTGTAATGAACGGAAAAACATAAAAAGGAGAATGGAATCCTTTACCTAATCTCCAGTTAGAATCTGACCACATCCAAACTTGACATTTCAACTTGTCTTTATATATATATCAAAACTTAGCTTTGTAGCAATGCAATCCAGGGCGGCAAGGCCAACAGTTACCAGTGAATCGATAGAGACAACTTAGAATGCCTTTCAAGAGCAGCTCCTTTGGGGTACATGGCTATTGGTCTCTTGAGGCAAAATGCAACAAATACATGGTGAGACCATCGCCAAGGGATAACAAGGCCATGAAAACACGCGCCTTGTCTCACTTGTTTGATTCAAAACCCTTCAGGGAACACAAGACTCTCCAGCAACGAGCGTCAAAAGCAAAACAGCATTCCCCAAGGAGCAGGGCCATCGCGAGGCAAGCTTTGGGAGGGGGGGGGGGTGTGGACTACAAATTTACCTGATTAAAGAATTTTTGCCTGAAATTCTTTAGTTGCTGTCACAAACCTCTGCAATGCATATTGGCAATCTAACTCTGTATAAAATTCGCAACTTCATTTCATTTTAATTTCATAATAACGGAGTTCCTAATAGTTTTGTCAAATCTCTATATAGGAATGGGCAAAGAATATAGTAACTACCCCAGGCGGCACTATGGTTGCCGCGGAAGGAACAGGAAATTCTCGAGTTTTGATGCTTCTATTTCTCTGGAAAATGCATTCTTTTAAGCAAATTTCACTAAAGCAATCCTCCTAATCCTATTTAAAATAAATTTTTTTGCAAACAAATTGAACAGCAGATAATAACAACTGGTACGATTTCGCCGTGGTCTTGAGAAATGCCAGGTTTTCAGTTACTTCTAATGCTAGGTAAAAAGCAGCACTGGTTGTCAATTTAGATCCCTCTTTCCATCTTAGCATGCCTTTTTAGGGGAAATGGACACAAGACACAATTTAACCTAAAAAGGGTCTGGATTTTTCGATTTATGGCCAACAAGCAATCTTCAAATCTTCAAATCATTAGTTTTTTTACCTTCATTCATATCAAGGAATATCATATTCTTCAAATCTTCAAATCATTAGTTTTTTTACCTTCATTCATATCAAGAAATATCATAATTTTACCTTCATTCATATCAAGGAATATCATATTTAACCAACGGAGCAACTACCTTTGCTTGATCCTTTATTGATTTTATGACATGAAGGTCTCTGAAATAACTTAAGCGTTTCTTCCATCGAGCGGATTTTGCATTGAAACTGTTCATCAGCGAAAATATCCTTCTTTTCTTCTTCGGAAAGGAGCCCATTGAGACTCTCCCCAAAAGAGCCTTCTCCTCCAAGTCGAAAAAAAAGAAATTCTTGCTACCTGCCTGACGATAGTGTTAATAACGAGGAAAAAACTGAATCCTTAAACATCTAGGCTGACGTTTCGGCCTACGTCAGATCTCAGATCTTTCAGCAAGCAAGGAGGTTTTATGATAGATGTGTTTAATTCCCAAAATGATTATTAGCATACAATGTAATTAAATCTGAAGAGGAAAAAGCTTTTTTTTATATCCGGGCGATTATTAGTAACCACCGTAGAAATAATCAAATTTACCATATATGAGCCAAAAATATTTCACTTTAACAAATAGAATAGTTTTTAAGGTAAATGTTGACGAGCGAAACCCAGCATTACTTTAGTGTTTATTTTTCACAACTGCCTTCAATCACATTTTGAAAAATTAAAATCAAAACATTTGCAGGTGGCTTTTGTGGTCCACTCGATCATAAAATGAGCAGTATCAAAAAACAGTATCTGATTATTTTTAGCAAAGGCCAATTTTTTACAAAACAAGCATGCCAAAATCATCAGCGATCCAATAATTGCGGCGATCTTTAAATATTCAAAACGAGGCCGGAGAATGAAGCAGTCTGTCAAACGAGACAGACGGATGAAGCTATCCTCTAATCAAGAGTTTACTTTTTCTGGTGGGATCTTAAAACAAATGAAACAAATGGAAGTTCTTATCATATCAAATATACCACGATTCATACATCCAAACATTTTGCGAAAGTTCTCCCCCCGATGGATTGGTATTTCATCAACAAGTAGCTTTGGTAATTACAGGGGAGGGGGGGGGATTTCATCAACAAATAGCTTGATCTTTCTGGTAATTACAGGGAAGGGGGGGGGTGGAACTCGTTTATAATCAGCCTTGCTTAACAGTATCTTTCATAAACTGGCATGAATACATAGGAAATCAGAACGAAGCAGTCTACAGTCAAGTGGCTGCACTTTTTGATTTATGCCTTATAAACATCCGATGGGCAACAGGGCAACAAGATGTTTCAGCCCAGTTAAACTCCAAAACTCCATCGTTTGCTGAAAAACATGATGTTTGAATATTGAGTGTCATATGATTCCGCCATAATGTTCTTCACTTAAAGCTGTATACTAGTGACATTCATAATGATGAAACATGAAAGAAATTGGAATGGCTTTCCAACAGGGACAATAACTTCGACTATCAAAGTTTTGCGACGTTATTCTTACAAAACCTGCAGCTACAATTGTCACTTTTTAATTTTTATACGTGTTTTGAAACGAAAGGCTGTCTAATGATTATTTATCATTTGGTAATCTACTTATTTTACAACCCTCTACCTACACAAAAAATGGAAGAGAACTTTCTAAACCATGTGTGGTAGTTCATAATTTTAGAAGCTATAATGAATTTTAATTTTTGAGATAAAAATTTTACTCAAAAAGCTTGGGTTTAGATTAGGAGATTAAGAAGTGCTTGCTAAAGAAATGTATTGGTTCATCTCGTCTTCAATAATTCAGAGCATCTTAATCTCTTCTAATTTAAATTAGAGAAAGGTTTTGGCTTACAATAAGGTATTTTTAAAGAAAAAAAATATTACAAAAACTTTGTTGCGCGGTCTAGTTTCTTGAAGCACGAGAAACAAAAAAAATGTATTTTACTAGAAAACCTCCCTTTGTCAAGCGCTTTCTATAGTATCGAATGTCGTATGGTGATCAAGAAGTGAGCCGCCATTTAAGTTACAAGGAGTGATGGGAGAAACGTTTAAAATTGGCGAATTTGCCTTCTCTAATCGCCTACCACTTTAGGGCATTGCTAGTTACCAGCATTGAAAAGTTAAAGTAGAAAAACAGCCGCGCCGTTTCTTTCTGCTCAGTTTTGTGGATACATTTGCCATTTCTCCTGAGAACTGCATTTGCAGCTCTATTGGTTGCTGGTCATTTATAAAAAATGAAAATTCTCACGGCTTTTCTCTTTGTTAATAATTTCACAGCAGTTTTTAATCAACTAATTTCTAATAAAAAGGTCCTTATTGGCAACAATCTAGAGCCTGTTTAAGATTAACAGGCTGTTGAAGATTAACAAAGTCCCGTTGTTTTTTAAGAATAGTTTCAGTAAAAATTGGCAGTTGCTGTAATCTGTTCAAGAATATGATATAAATGCTACTCTAGCTGGACACCACTATAATATTAGTTTTAAAGCAAGATTCTTTGACGACAATCAATGGCAGGAAAAATGATGCATGCTTCATTAAGTCTAGAGACCTAACCATTTTCTGATTGTTGCATTAACCATGAATCTCGGAGTTACAATTTAGAACCGTCCTACCAAGGTCCATTGAAATCAAGATGAATAAAAGCAAACTTCAGAAAGAGACTTTTTTCTTATTCAAAGATTAAAATTGATGATCAATATCCCTCTCCACCAGCAACTAGGTAATTGATTTCTAAGCAAATACCGCATATTTTTGCATTGTTTTTTGCTTGCGGACTTTACATCGGCAATCAGAGCAACACACCAGAAGTTGCAATTCATCACTAGTTAGCATTGCCTAGCAATAATGAATTTCACTATACCTAGATTTACCTGCCTAGAACAAACAAAAACTTATTATCAACAGCGTGAATCAGATCAAAACAGCAAGCTGTATACACTTCTCAATATACTTTAATATTCTCTACTGCAAGCCTATGCTTCTTATTTGGAAACCTGTAAAACAGACCTGGTGCTCAGCGTGCTACTTTAAATCAATGCATCAGGGATATTGTCAATGAGCCATATGGATCATTTTGTACCACACAATAGGCTTGCTGATAGAACTAGAGTCTGAATTAACGAAGACAAAATTTCAATCACAGATTTGACAACATATATAAAATACGTGAATTTCAAAGCAAGGGACACAAATACTGAAAAATGTGTCATCTCTTCCTCGAAGGATATTTCCAAATATGTGTAGATACTTCTTCTTTCTCTCTTGTAAACACCGCCATATTTTGTTTATTATCTGAGTCAACTACGATGCGTTACTTTGTCAAGACGTGTAGTTTATCTTTGCAATCATCTTTGTCTGTCCCTTTGTTAGTTTCGCAAGTAAACGTAGCATCTAGGCCAGCGGGATAACCATGGTGTTTTCATTGAATAGAAAATTAGCTATTCTTATTCAAATTTTGTTTGTTCATGTTATTTCATGGTTAAAGATATCAACCGACACTTTGATAGAAAGCTGTTTCGGCATCAAACGATTGCACAATAAGCATTAATGCTGACCATAGGGCATCAAATGCCGTTTGATGCTTTGGGAAACAATCGGTGAGTTGCTTTTTCAACAACATTTTAACATTTTTCTACAGCAGTCTACAATGTCTGTAAATAATCTAAATAAGCTAAATTTTGATTATTTCATAATGCACCCCAAAACCAGCGATAAAAGAGACCAAGAAAGACAACTGTCCTTGGGTCCGTGAGCAAAAAGGGACCCACTGGTTATTAAATTCTTTCTTTTTTCATATAGTTTCAATTGCAAATCATATCTTTATTGGAAAAGCTTAACATTTTTTTACAAGTATTAATTTTATGCAATTTAAATTACATGCATTTTGAATCCACATAAAGCGCACATTAGGTTTATCGCTTTGGGTTGGAAGGAAAGCCAAGTAGATTGTGAGCAATAGGTGATAATGAAAAGAAAAAAGCCCATTCGGATAGGCACCTTGCAATGCAAGCCCAGAATTGTATCCTTCAAACTCAGACGTGCTGTTGTGATCATCTGACTGTTACTAATCAGCGTAAGAAGTGCCTGAAAGTCTTCTTGCACTCTCAATGCAAAACTTGTGATATTACCCGGGTTGTAGTCAATTTCAAAAGTAACATTCAAGATTTCCTGCTTACATAAGATTATGTTTTAGACGTAGAGAGCAAATATATTGCCTTGCAAGCCCTTTGACAAAGGAAGTAAAAGAATCCAAGTTCTAGCCCCTTGACAAAGGAAGTCAAAGAATCCAAGCTTTAGCCCTTTGAGGAGAGAAGTGAAAGAATTCAAGCTATTTAACAAAATCAGTTCAGCTTCACTTTTGACACATTCTCTGCAAATACAATGCTTACAATACGTTCTCTCTTCACGACGACAATCTTCTAAAGTAAAAATGTATCATTCATTTACCATTCATATGTCCCAAAACAATCAAATACTCCAATTTTCATGCATTTTGGGAGATATCCTAATCATTGAATGGTACTTCACTTTATTCTCATTCAAACATAAAGCTGTTGCAAAACTATGGTGCATTACATCTAACTTTTTCGCTAGCTTCGCACCTGCGGGGCTGTTTGCTCTAAACTAGCTGCTTAATCAGCGCACATAAAGATCATGCGTGCTTAATTGGTGAAGGGTTGAATTTCTTAATATTTCTGTTTAATAATAATATCAAAATAATAATATTAATTTATACAGGAAAAGCTTGGCCAGCTTTATAAAAAGCTGCTATCATTCAAGATAATGTTGAAATTTTAAGTCTAAATGAATCAAAAGATATCAAATTGAAAGTTCAAGTATAAAAATCTTTATAGAAATAAAATTACAGTTAGAAATACAGTTCAGTTGAGTGCATTGTCCCTTGTGGAATTCAACCGTTGATTGTTTTCCTTTCAACTTATCAGGAAGTTGGTTAAATAGCTTTCTGTTTATTTCGAATCCAATCCCGGGCCCAAACCATTTTCAAAAGATGGTAAAGGGAATATGAGTATAAACATTATCAGATTCGTATTCTTTCTAGGCTTGAAAAACCGGTTTTTGCTCGATACTTTGGTATTTGACACAATTATGCAGGTGCACTCGGATTTACGATGTAAATTATGGAACCTTTATTCAGCCGTAGATCTAAGGAATTCCGAAAATTGAATAAACATTTTAGAGATCTCTGTTCTTGTCATTTCAATATTATTTCAAGGAGCTCAAAAGGAAATATTCTCACTGGCGCTATTGACTTATTACAATATTGATACATCATGAAATGAATTCTAGCAGATATCATTGCCTTGCGAGAAAAGCCTTTTCGAAGAACTTGATAAGATTATGAGGGCAAGATCATCTGCAAAACCTGAATCCGTGAGATATTCAGCTTGGAAGTGTTTGCTTTTGCGTTTCCTTTAAGTTCCTTTCCTGCTATTTTGTCAAGAGAAATTCTTCATGAACATAAAAGGTGCAAGTGTGTCACCTTGCAGGACACCGGTTTAAATGCCAAAATATTCCGTTTTTCCATCTGGTGTTAGTATTGTGGGTGTGGTATCACAGTGAAGTGCTTTTATAGCTATATCTCTTGCCGTATTCATAGAGGGAAATAATTTCAAACATAAGATCCAGAGAGATGGAATCGAATGCTTCACGGAAATCAGCACATGACAACGTCTTTGTTGTGTTTCTTCAATTCTTCTAAGATTCTTTGCAATGAAAGGATTTGTGCAATAGTGGATCTGTCTTTTCGAAAATTATTTTGATCGTTCTGAAGTAATGAATCAACAACAAGAGCAATTCGGTTTAACAAGAGCTTATTGTAGCTTGTTTTAGAACAATTAAGAACTATGGTTATCGAGCAGTATCTACTCCTTCCTCTCGATTTGACCACACCTCGCGTTATTCCTATGCCCGAAAGTACAGAGATCTGGTGACTTGAAGACAGTGGTATAGTGCTATCAGAATAACAAGAGGGGGGGGGGGGGCTTTTCCATGGAATGTTGCGGAAAAGTAGAAAATTACCAATTTTTGGCACTAACAAGGGGGTTTCAGCCCCCTGAGCTCCCCTGAGCCCCCCTAGCACTACACCCTTGCTCAAAGAGTCTTGATTCCTATTGTCTATTTGACTGAGCTGGTGGGAAAGTGTATGCGTATCTTATACACATGCGCATTAGGGTGAAGACTTGTGCACTCAATTTACATCTCATGGAGCTTCAATTTGACATCTCATGGAAATAAAAAATTTAACCGAACCAGAATAAAAAAGTCTAATCAAGCTTAGTCCTAGAATTTCTTATGATATCTCAAATATCATGCCCGGGTGTATAGAACAGGGCGGCTCTAGGTTGCAACTCAGAGGTTCACACATGATGCAATGATAAAGCTACAAAACAGCTCCGCCTACACAAGCATTTTATGACAGACCAGTATAAACAGTATTTTCATTAATATCTGTATCAGGCAGACTGTATTAGTATTTTGATCTCCAGAGTCATTTTAGGATTCGTGTCTATCTTTTTCGGCTTTCAATTTAGAATAATTCGATGACTGCGAGCATTTCTTTGAATCTTTTCTAAGCTGGAGCATTAACAGAGGAAGATCTTTGCTCTCAATTTGTGATTAGTGCTATACAACGTGCAGCTGGCGGTTGTTCAATCAAGCAATCAAGCAAACACGGCGTACTTTATTTTGTCTATGCCGGTCCATTTTGAATAAACTTCGATTGAATGTGTAAACGGATTATTTCACGTTTGCTTCAGCAGCATAGAGTAAAAACTCAAAATCGGCAAAGGTATTGCCACAGAAGGCAATCGTACGCCTTGTGATGTGATTCGAAAAGAAAGAATATTTCAAAATATCAATGAATAGCAATAAAAGGTAATCGCTTTTCTATACAAGTATAAAATAAAGAATAGATTCTAATAACCATTTTAATTATGCCGTCTTCATTGCATTTTGAGAATTTAAAAACGAGATAATTACTTGAACATGATTTAAGCGCAATGCAATCTTTTTAAAAGTTGTAAATTGGCAGCGTTTTAATCTGACAATACATATTCTTGTAATGCACCAGTAAAGGATTTACAGAGGCATTACAATTTATAGAAATAATGGGCCATTCGCAAAGAAACACGATGAAATAGCTGATCTTTCGTTTCAAAACTTTTCATACAAATAAATTACTTCCTCCGAAGCTATTTCCCTGTTTTAAAGCGATGTTCAGATCTTTGGAAAACAAGCTTTCGTAGAGAAAAGCTCTGGGTTTCTGACACATTTTGCAAATATGCAAGCAGTCAAAAGCTGATGCTTTGTGATGCAGTTTAATATGGATTTATAGATAGTTATCAACTCACCTCTGTCTACTTTGAACTCGAGTAGTTCGAGCTTTTATTACTTCGAATAAGATTTCAGGTCACATGAAGATCTTTTCTTATCGTTGTGTGAAAATGCACATAGCAGTCCCTTAAAAACTTTTAGAATGTGAATCTCTAAAATCCGAACTTCTCGTAATGTGACCAATTTCCTCGATCCTTCGAGAAAAACAACCGTTCTATTTTGTAATTTTTTTTGTAATCTTTAGAAATAAGCAGTTGATATAAGTACTTATTTTTAATGGATTCTTTTAAATTTTGCATTTTCGAAATTATTTGTTGTTATTTATGTCATTTCCTTCAATACTAGTTGTAAAAAATGATTAAGTTCGTTGAACCTTTGCCTGTCCCGTGCTGAGCTCTGAAAAACAAACAGCATTGTCCATTTTTGTGTTAGATCCTTATTAGAAACCAAATAAGTTGACAAAAGTGTTTTCTTTTACTTACAATTGCTGTGCAAGCTGTGAAGCTTGCTCTTGGGATTGTATTTGGGCGTACATCGCAATTTTCCTGGACATAACCTGCAGGTAGCCTATTAATTAGCACGACAATAAGTTTTACTCAACCATGCCTAAATTAATTATCACTTTCAGCTACTCTCTTCCTCTGAAAAAATCTACTTTCATGGTGGCATAAAAGCCTACGACAACAGAAATTTGACCATTACTCTCCTAAGATTATTCTAAATATTTCGCATTTAAAAATTTAAAAAAAGTACACCCATTAGAAAACACCCAGTTTTCCAAACTATGCAAAGCTAAAGAAAAACAAAGCTATTTGAAAGACGTTCGGCACATATATTTAAGAGATGCATGTTGCGAAATGGCATGAAAGCAGTGGGTTCAAAGTCTTTTACCGAAGAATTGGCTACAAGGGTCTCCCTACATCGCCAATAAGATAAGGATTTCTCTTACATTAAAAAGAATATAGCGTAAAACTCTCGAACTGCAACATTACAGAATTTTAGTGCAACATTTCATCAAGAACCGAAAGTGCTTTTTTCGCAAGACGTTCATCCACGGAGCATAAAACGTTGGGAATTTGTCTAAAGGTGATCGGGAAATTATATGTCTTACCGATGTGGATCGAAACTCTATCGCGATTGCCTGCCAATTCCTAGCAGAATTTTCAAATAATTGATATCAATGGCAAAATTTTGGGCAAAAATTGATGAAAATGTACGCTGTTATACAGGGTTAAAACAAGAAAGAGTTATTTTGCTTGATATTCTAGCCATTATAAACATATGAATATCAGTTGACATTGGCTTTAACAAAAATATTCAAAACGTTGTGAAAATATAACCAACAGTAACAAACAAATCAATATCGTAACGTTTGAAAACTACTATATCTAGTTATTGACTTTTTTGATCTGATAATAAGCTGAAGCACGCGGGAAAAGCATTCTTTTGAAACTCTTATGTCCCATTAACGCAATGGCCTTTTCCAGTCTTTTCGACCTCTGTAGATGAAGGAAAGGCCATGGTAGCACTGCTACCGTAGCAGGCTGCTCAACGGACGTCAATTGAATAATATCCCTGCGAAAAATCATGCAGCTTATCGTCTTGTTTGTCCCCAGCCTTAACTGTCCAAGGCTAAATAAACACGTCAGACAAGACAATTGTAAATTCTGTCGTGTTTCTCTGCTAACTTAATCCACTTTCTTTTCAGTTCTTCGCTTGCTTGTAATGATGGAGTCTTGTGCATTTATGGGATACACACACAACGATGGCGCTGTGTTTCAGTTCACCTATTACATCGTTGCAACACTACTGCTGGCTCTTTCTTTGCCGACAGTTCTAGTAAACATTGCAATAGTGTCAGCAATAATATTCAAACGAGAATTGCGTACCCCAGCCTATTTGGTCATAGCAAATCTGGCAATATCTGACTGTCTGGCAGGATGCTTTGTCTACCCCTGCTATTCTGTAGTTTGTATCCAGCTTGCGTTGGGATACGACCCGTGTACGGTTGCATTCGTTGGTACGCCGTTGGGCTACATCTTTGGTCTGACGTCATACAATACAATCGCTTTACAAACTATAGAAAGGTATCTAGCAGTGTTCTTTCCTTACTGGTATCACGAAAAACTTACCACAAAGGTAATCGTTATTGCGAACGTGTCAACGTGGCTTTTATCGCTCAGTATCGTAACGTTATGGTTGATTACGAAAGACAATCAAATATTTAATGGCATACTTGGCCCATTATCGGCCGTTGCGTTTTGCGTTACAGTAGTAAGTTACGTTAGAATATTTCAAGAGGTTCGTAAAATCGAAAAGCAGATCAAGGAGCAGCAAGTGAGATGTTCAGCTGAGCAACGAAAGATCAAGTCTGAATCTAAAGTCGCAAAAGCAACAGTGATAATTCTTCTAGCTGTAGTGGTATGTTATTCTCCACTATTGATTTTTGAATTCGTTATTGCTTTCGTAAATATAAAGAGCAGCGCTGCTTCCGTGTCATTGTACTGGTGGTGGTTTTTAGCTATCGGTAACTCATCGATAAATCCTTACATAGCTTGCAGGCAGCTATCCGCCTTGAGAAGGTCTGTTAAAAGCATGTTCAGATGGCTGCCCGTTTTTGGGAGAAAGATAGAGTCCTTCGACCAGCTGACGTCATTTGCACCATCCAGGACAAGTCAAACAGACCTAAAAAAACATTCGCTTTTTACCAAAAGTAATTAATATGGAATTTTAATTCCATGTCTAAAAACACCTACCTGCTGTTAACGTGGTGTTTTTCTACAAACATTGATGACTGAACAGCATATATTCACGTTGTCACAACAAATACCACTTGCTGGCTTTTCATATGCTAAGAAACAATTACGAATCAGCAACGCTGATTAGAGCACCAAAAATTTCAAAAAACTATTTATCATAAATTACGATAATCATTCATTTTCTTAATATTCGAATCTTTTGGTATTTATCTATTACTGAAACCAATTTACATTATGACATAGTTGTGCCAAGTATGGAAAAAACTTTGCCGTCAGATATCACAAAGAAGAGGCAAACAATTTCGTCCTCAAATGTTTTTCCTGAGAAAACAAAAAATGGTCTTTGTACTAAAATTTTCCCCCTCTTAAAACTCGGTATTTTCTCACAAAAAAATACTTTTTTCCCATAACCAGATTTGATTCTAAAAAGGAACGATATAAAGGAGCGATTTAATCTGTTTTGAAATAAAAAGTTTTCCAAAAATTTCCACCATGTTTCTTTAACCAAAATTTGACCCCTCACAAAACTTGTTGTCTTCTCATGTAACATAAGATCTAGAGAGCAACAAAATCCTTTCAAAGAACCAGAATTTAACCCCTAACTACTCAAACGTCGCATTTGTTCCCACAAATTACTGTTAATGGTTTAAGCCATATCCATCAAATGCTGAATCTACTATTTTTGGAAAAGGAGGAGCTTCGAAAACTTCTATTTTTGTCACAAATTTCTGTCACAAATAGGAACCAGCTTCCAACGCATATTTTACCGGCTTTATGAAGTTAAACACTATAACCTAAAAGGGACAGTATTTCTTTAGCCAAGAAAGTTACTAGATGGCTATAAATCCTGCGTGATAGCAGTTTTGATGGCAATTTCATGCCAATATTCGTTTGCCTGAGCGTATGTAAATACGGGCTAGATCTTGTTGATTGTAATCAGTTGTTTAGCGCATGTTATAAATGTTGAAAAGGCCATACCTTTATTTTGCTTGTTAATTATAATATCAAACATACTCTCTCTTTGGTTTCAATCTACTAACTACAAACGATTGTATTTAAAGCATATTTGAGTCCTGGCCAAATGGCCCAACGTTCTCCTCAACAGTTGTTGCACGTATTTGCATGTTTAATTTCAGTGGTCGGCCGAAGAGATACCATATCTCGCGCAACATTTGTCCCACTTATTTAAAAAATGAACTTGGTTCAAATCGCTGATGTAATCTAACATTTTATTTTCTTGTGTTTTTACTTCTTTGAACTTAAGCGGGGAAAGCCCTTCTCGAATAAATAAACAGAGAAAGAAAACCAAGCAGTCCAGCGCGCATGCGTGAATGCAGTAAATGATGCAAGACCTGCCCAATAAGTGTAGCATTTGTTGCACGATGACGCTGCAACAATTCTGACTGGTTTTATTCTCGGTGCAATTATCTCTATGGGTGTAATTCAACAAATGAAGCATGGGTAGCTAAACGATACCTTTGCAACTATATACTACACAAATTGCATCGTTTGATCCGGACTTAAATGACCATTCTATCACGTCGATAGTGATAGGCTGAATAAAACGTTAAAGCTTTTTTGTGGCTTTTGGGACTATTCAGAGTAATGGCATGAGCCACGTCACATTTTCTAAAGAAATGGCCTTTTTATTTGATGAATACCTTTGCAAAAGAAACAGGGGCTGAAAGAAAGGCAAACACAAAACAACATCATAAAATGACTAATGTATGCAATGCAATTAAATCAACACCTTATTATACATGTCATGATAAGGTATAAATTCTTTGATAATTGAAAAGGCGTTTTCTATCCTCATGCCTGATCGTTCTGATGTGTCTTTTTTTAGCAACAAAATTGTTCAAAACTCTAAACAATTGTAAGCCTATCATGATATCTATTTTTCTAACAATGAAGAAAATGATCACAAAACCATACAGAATGTTTCATTTTTTTGAGTCACTGTTCTTGAGCGCTATCAAAAAATTCTAAAGGCGCTGTGCTAGTATTATATAGCGAAAATAGAAAACGCCATTCCAAAAATTAATCTACAATTTTTTGAACGAGAGGCATTTTAGAAGTTGAGTTTAACCAAAATAACTTTGAAGAAAATTCCAGGTGTACATTGCAGTATTGGCAAAAATTCTACGACATATTTGTCACTGAATTTTCAAGATTAACCATATCTTTGGCGAATTGCTTTTATCCAATTCTTCATTTTTTGCATGAAAATCTAAATATATTAGCAAAATGGTGGATAACAACAATTTCTAATATGCCACTCATTCAATTTCAGATCGAGAGATCATTCAAGAACATAAAAAATACAAAAACCTTTTTTTACAACAATCTAAAATACCAAAAGAGAATCTTATTATACAAATGCAAATTATGAGAAATTCTGAAAATTAAGATTAAATTTGATAAATAAAGTACACATATTAATTTTCCTCTCCATTCATAGGAAATGCAAAGCTACCATTATGAAATATTGTATGTTTGAGTAAGGTTTGAAATCAGCCTAGCATTTATAAAGTATTATACGTGAAAACTTTAATCTTCGGTCAAGGGAATTGATGTTTTATATTCGTAAACATTTCCATAGGAAAGGAAAATATGTGAGAAATAACATTATCACCAATACAAAATTATGAATCCTATATACACGATACAGTAGTGTCCATTTTTAAATTGAGTTATTGTGGTTGTTTTTCAAGACAACGGAAATGCGTTGTTTGGGTTGCATCTGTTGGGCACTGTGCAGGCCCTTTTGTTTAGACAGGAACATTTAAGTAGAATATACGCTTGGATGCAAGTGCAAACTACAAAAACACCAACAACGGCCAGTAGAAAGTACAACGGCATGATTGATACAGTTATGTTCCGCAAATTTGGTCAACAAATAAGCTTGTCCAAATGCATCAGAAGAAGGAAATATTTGCCAGGTCTGCAATGTCACTACTTGTGTCGTAGATTAATGATTAAATATTCTAAGTTCTCTTCTTGCAGGTGCTGATCCAGTAAATGAAATGTTTCATTCTTTACCTTGATTATCTAAGAATTGAATAAGAGAAGTAAGACATAAGCGATGCAATATTTACTTGTGGATTTCCAATAACTTAATAAATCTGAGAAAAAGGCTAATTAATTAAGCTGAAGATGATCGCCGAATTAAGCTCAAAGAGTCTTGGCTTCACCATAATATTGACCATAAAACTTTTCCTGGTGTTCTACGCTTTCAAACAACGGTATAAAGTGACACAGTGATTTATAAAATATGCTTTTCAATGCCTGGTATAGGGTCAGCATATATTTTCAGCGATTTTATTTGAAGGATACTTAAGGTTGACATTTGCTGAGAAGGAAAGAAGAGGAGCACCACCGAGTAAGCCACTTGTGGTATCCTAATAGCCCTAGAAGGAACTGAGTTCTTGTTCATCTTGTCTGCAATGAGTACTGTGCAGCCGGTGTTAGTTTTCAGACGCAAAAAGACCAAGATCAAGATCTTCTCACCCACTGGTGCAAAAGCATGAAATTGATTAAATCTATGAAATTGCGTTCGTATCATTTAAGATGATGCATTAGTTTTATCTATGACGATGTCATTCCACAAAAATTGTCTTAGGACGAAACTTGACTATTTTGAACATCCCTTTTTGCAGTTGAAGGAAATTCGGTTCCCGCTATCTAGACCTCCCACCTATCTTTAAACTTATACGATAAATTATCTGTTTTATATGCTGTAAATGCTCATACATCTATGAAATCTTTTAATCGGCAAAGTCAAATTTCAGAAGACGTATAGACAATTTGCCGCAGTCCACGATGCTTAAAGGCAATAGACAGATACTCAAGGGGCGTAGGCCCGGATTATTGTAATTCCGGTTCAATAAAAAAAATTGACCAATCAGTGAGTGTGATTCCACTCAAAGGCTCACTGATTGGCTAACTTTGCTTGGCAAAGACAGAATTGAAGTAAGAAAATTCTAAACATTTATTGCCACAGTAATTTGATTATTTTTCAAAAGTAGCGGCTTAATACAACATACATCAGGCTGTCACATATATTTTAAGTCTAAGAACTTTATGTTTACCGGTTTGACTATTGGTTCGGCAAAAAGTACGTTGATATAATATTAGATAAAGAAGATGAATTGTTTTCATTCAAGTTTATATAGAGCAACCTGTTTCTGATGAATGAACCGAGCTGGTTGCACCTGATTGTTTGAAGACGATCCTGCTCATTCCCTGTTTGTGGCTGTATGGCTAAGCCGTTGTTTACCATTTTGTTGTATAGCAACACCGAATAATGATCATTTAGAGGTTGCCTTTTTAAATACAATTTGTCCAAGGACCTTGAATCAAGCCCGCATGTTTACTAATAAAGAATCTGCTCGTGAGAAGATGAAACTTTGATCAAAATAACAAAGTAATATCTCACAGTTGCTTCCTTTTAGGTGTTGCTTCGCCATTTTTTCGCAAAAACAGAAATGGCTCGCAAGACAAAAACAACCCCAGTGAAAGTCAAGCAAGATAAAGCAAGATAAAGCAAGATAAAGCAAGATAAAGCAAGATAAAGCAAGATAAAGCAAGATAAAGCAAGATAAAGCAAGATAAAGCAAGATAAAGCAAGATAAAGCAAGATAAAGCAAGATAAAACAAGATAAAACAAGATAATAGAAAAAAGGGTTAGATAATCGACAAGGAATAGATAAATTCTTAATACTGGAAAGGACTAGTAAACTCAGCATAATGATTGTGCCATCTTTACTCGGCTTGGTGCTACTGTTGTGAAGTGGATAGACATATCACGTCGTTTTTAAATCACATGACCTTTAACTACAGCTGAAGTAACAATGTGACGTCACAGAAATTTTTTTCGAATTTTGTTATCTACATAGCCTGAACGAACACCATGAAATAACTCTGACAGTGTAAATTCAATCGAATTTGTTAAATGGAGGTGGGCAAAATTAGTATATAGTATATAGCAACAAAAGATATGCAGTTTCCTTAGCGATGATTCTCCTACGGGTCATTTGATCCAAATTTTAAAATTCTTGAAATGTCTTTTGAACACAAACTTTATTTTATAAAAAGATGATCTGAATAACACCTACTCTTAGTATCTAATCGTCTTCTACTAAATCAACTCTTGTGTTAGCTTCAATAAGGACAGAAACTGGCAAGCGAATGTTCGCTTTCCAGGGAGTTCAGATCTTCAGTAGACTTGCCACAGATATTAGGGACGAAGAATCATTAGTTCATTTTAAACAAAACTTATGCTCTTATAATGGATTTTAATGGAACAATTCTTGAAAACAGTTTTAACCATCTTGTAATGTTTATATATCTTTTCGGTATTTTTTGTTCAATTGGCCCTTGAATGATAACTGGATAGTTATCCTGACCAAGTAAACCGATACAAATATTATTTATCATCATTATTGCTATTTCAGGCAAACTCCAGCTAATTTGCGTATTTGAAAACAGAATTGCAAATTTTCAAGAATTTGTGATATTATTCCCTAAAATATACTCATTTTAAAACTTTTCATAAACTTTTGGATTGAAAGCTGGCAAACTATCAGAAGCAGAACAATTTCTTCTTCTTTTTCGATTGCATTTATAAATGAATGGTTGTATTTAGGCCAGCTTAGAACAACCAATTCCGTAAGAAAGTCTATATAAAAGAATTCATTATAATATGTTCCAGAGGATTTTATCAGACACTGTTAAATGTAGGATAGGGAAAATTGCTCCACAGTTATTTCGTATTGCATTAGAAAGTCCATACAGCATTAACCTGGTGGAATGTCCTTCTTCTTTCCTTTTCTTTATAATCATACATCTAATATAATGGCAGAAAAATCAACATTGCTATAGTGGACAAAGGAAAGTATGCACAAACCTTTCAAGTTTTCACTGCATTTCCTTTAACATCGGGTAGATATGGTGTTGCAGTGAGTGTGGCTTGCCATTTGAAAGCATCAACACTTTGGAACGCCAAGACGGCGTCCATTCCATCTGCTGAATCCTCCTTGCAAAGAACGCGTTCGCTTACTTGTGTCTTTATACAACGTGAGTGCATGTACAACAATACGTCAATGTTCATGTTCTAGAATGTTCTCTCGATACTCCTACATGTAGCTGTTTACTCAGTCAACAATTGATTATTGAAATGTGCACATTCCCTCGGCTGCCCAGCTAAAAAACACTGGCGCATGACGCAGCCTTGGACTACGAGAAGTGAGCCTGCGACCAAACCAACCAAAACGATAAGAACTTCGATCATACTCGGCCAGAATATTTTTCAATTAAACTCGCTTTGAGCTTTGTTGCTTGTACTTAAAGCGTTCCTGCCAGCAAACTTTGTGTATTGTCCCAAAACGTGCATCATTCATGGTGGCACAGAGGTTTACATCCAGAAACAAAAATCTCTAATGAAATATTAATCTCGTAAGCATGAGTTGCCATTTTCTATTCATGCCTTCATATATAATGCAAGCCATTGTATGTTGGGAAGTAATTTCACAAAAATTCCAATTGCACCTTCGAATATGGAAATAGATATGATGTCATTTTAGTCACTTATTGGTGAGTTCAGATCATAAGCAATCATAGCGTAGAGCATAGAGAGACTATTTCGACTATCTTAAAGAACATCATAAAACAGGTAATGGGTCTCTAGAAAACGTTTTGATTAACTTTAGTAGCCTGAAATCGATGCAGAAAAAGACAGAAGAAACAGAACTTGAATCAGTGCTCGGACCTTCTGTTTATATACACTTTTGCGCGACATGGTTATATTTTATGATCTATTAGGAAAGATACTGAGATTGCACTACCCGCTAGGCCTATCCGATCAAACTCCGAGGAATAACTTCGGAGCAATTAAGCAACAGTAAAGGGAGAATGCCTGCTAATCTTATGAAACCTTTTCATCTCTCCACAACTTTAGATCATTTATGTGTAGAACTGTCTACAGATTTTGCTGTTTGTCATACAAAAGAAGCCAACTGATATGATATATGATATGTCCCTTACTTCAGGTACAAAAAGTCTGATTAACCATGAGGTTTAAATGACTTGACCTCGTACACGAGACCTAAACTTTGTGTTTTAAATTCATTTGACTGCTAACTAACACGCGAGGCTTAAAAGAAATGTTTGTCATGCTACACCAAAATACTAGAGTGTGTATAAGAAATAGATACTGTGGGATTCTGGCGGTGCAAACAACCAATTTGTAGTGTCCTCCACTGGCACCCACAGGTAAAATACAAGCTACTTCTTTCTTCTAAGTACAAAAATGCTCCTTGCTGAGTTCGGTCAAAGCAAGGGAGTCTCATCTATACGTGATGTCTAGACATTACTCAAACAGAGGTTACACAGCACGCTTCAGTTAGAGATTACAGGTTATCTGCTTGATAACCTGTAATATAAAGAGTCCTGGGATATAAATGTCGACAACCTGATCAAAATGGCAGGTTGCATCTATTTATCCACCTTGCGGCACAAAGTAGGGATGCGCAGTTGTTGTCAAATCTGAAACCGCTTCCATTTGAATGGACATTGAAAAAGGAGTCCATTGATGAAATTTTTGATAACTAGCTTAATATGACTCAATTGTCCCCCAGTTGTAAAAAAGAGAGCAGCGTACTGTGTGTAGACTGCCTCTACAATCGATTTGCGATCATTGCTAACACTAGATACGAAGATAGTTTGTATACGCAATTTTGTATCAAACTTTTCTGGAGCAAGGTAAATTTAATGTGCAAATTCAGGAAAGTAAGCAACACTCCTAACATCTTAAAATTTGGTTCTACGCAAATCATCCCGGAAAGCAATAGCCTTGAAGAACTAGATGAAAGGACCACAGCTTGCAAACAAAATTACACAAAGATGCTAGTGATTGCTATCGTTTTGTTAATTGTGGGCTCTGCTATAGCCGTGGCAAATGCATTTTACTGCGGCAAATGCTTCGCTGTAGGACAACCTAAAGAGCATGCCCACTTTCACCCATGCACCTTCTTCTGATGAAAATATTCAGTTCCTGGATGTAAAAATGCAAAAGAGACATTACAATGGAGTTCATTTTGCTCAATAGATGGAAGAAATAGCTGCAAATGATTTTGTGATTTGCAAAGAACAAGGAAAAATAATCCTTTGATTGCACAATTGATGACAATACATGCAGATGGTGCAGGGAGAAAACTTCTTGCAAGAACACGTCAAAGAAATGCTCTAAATCTTCTTGAAGAAAACATTTCTACTAGAGGCCATTTTTGCCCCCTGAAGTCAAAATGATCATGACAAAGAAGATGCTTTGTTGGTTGGAAATTCCATGAATCAATTCTAGAATGACAAAAAAGAACAAAGATTTAAGCGTTATATTAATTATGGAGCCAAAATCCAAGAATTAGAAAGAGCATTGGATCAGCTGATTCAAGAAAAAAAGTGCTATTTGGATAAAGAAAAGAGAGGCAAAGACACCAAACTAATTCTTAATCTTTCACAAAGAAGGAAGAACTTGAAGGTTGAAAACATCAAACTCTAAATATTTTTTTCAAAAATGGACAGGTCTTCTTCTAATCCCAATATGCTAGAATGGGATGAGCAGTTGATTGAATAAATTTCAATTGCATTTTGTGTATATATAACGATATACCGATATTGAAACTAAATAACAATTCATGTGTTACATTGTTAGAATAGAGAATATTTTCGATAGACAAAAAGTGCAATACAAACTCCTTGTCTTTTCTGATTAATTTACTGTTAATGAGCATGTAAAGTACTGGGTGTCAATAACAATTCTAGCAGGATTCTTTATAAAAACAAAGAAAATTGCCAAGTTGCGTTTTTCTTGTGTAGATAGGTCGCTTGTACTAGCTCTGGTCAGACAACATCAATTTTGGAGGCTTAGGAGTTACAGCACTGAAGCACTCTGTTTCTTAACCGATAACTTTTAAAATAGCAAGCAAAATTGAAAAAGTGGCACACTTAATTGCTTTTCGTGCGTCACTCTTCAGACTATTAACGTCGCATAACTAAAGGTAGGCAAATTTTACATGATTTATATCCAGATTTGGATGAAAGTAACGCGGGAAAAATAATAAAGGGTTCATTAGCTGCTTGTTTTTGACCAATCGGCAACACTAATTTCTAAACGTAATCATTAGTCAATTTTTCAAAGGCTTATGTGGTCAAAAGTTAAGATAAAAGTGACTCTTGCACTAAATTTACGCTATATGAATGACTCATGGTAGTAGTTATAATGAAATAATCCTCGCCGGAACTCTACATGCTAGCAACTAATTGTAAGAAAAGTTACGCAGATCTGGGCACAATAGATATCTTTTGCTAGCTTATTTAAGTCATCGACATACATCGACATCTCTAACTAAAAAACAGGGCAACACTAAATAGGTGGTGAGAAGTTTCGACAATCCCTTCATTACAGCTCTGCCCTAACTTGTTGGCTTGTCGGTGAAACATGAATCTGAGATCTCGGTCTGTCGGTAATAGTGAACCTGTTCAAAAATTTACTTTGCTGCATAATAAAGAACCTTCGGAACGCCACTATTATTATCATTATTTTTATCTGTTTATTTAAAGTAGGCGTATAAAAATAGCTACAGAATAAAAGCTAATTCAAGCCTACTACAAAGAAAAATTGTTTGAAAATAGAAAATAAAAATACATATATATCTAACATAAGAAACAAGTAAGTATAAATACATATATACATATTTTACAACAATTTTTCAGCATTTTTTGGCATTTACAATACAATACATTTATCAGTTCAAGAACCCAACCTAAGCCACGAAAGGTATACACAGTCTACAATTGCTTTCCTCTCCTTTCCAAGATTTTATTCTCCTTTTAAAGCTGGAGAGGGTATCTGATTGTTTCATGTCATTGGGGAGTGCCTGCCACAATCTACTCCCTAGAACCGATATCGTCTCTAAACCATAGCACATAGTGCATGTTTGTGGCAGTAGTAGATTGTGGCAGCTTCTTAATCCATAAGTACTGTGCTTTTCAGTAAAGATATCCTCCAAGAAAGAAGGATTAACTATAGCAATGTCGTGATAAAGGAGGACTTCAAATACATTAAACGTGAAATTTTTTGTTGTCAAATGTCTAAATTAACGGAAAGCCTTACGAATAGATGACATTCGAATGAAAAGAAAGCACGCGAAAGTGAAAATCCAGACAAATGGTCGGACATGAAAATCCAAATACGAGGCTGTTCTTCAGCCTCTATCACATTTTCGTCGTGAAAACCTATTTCAGTTTATTGTGTAACGTGCTGAGAACCCTCCTTTACCCCCTTCTTTTAAGCAACAATATGACAGGAACAAATGCAAGTGTCCTGTTTTGTCGTCCGTGAAGTCATACTACATTGGGCTAACAAGCATGAGGTACCTGCCGGCATAGTTGAAGTATGACGATTTTTCCATATAAGGATTTCAATGCTAGCACTTGCTCGAGATGAGATGCGTCCATACAGTTGAAGACGAAGTCAGGTGACACACTATTTTGATTGCAATAACATGACGCATTGATAGAGACATAAACAGGCTTTAATATGAAGTACGACAGAAAGGTAGCCATGACTAATGACAAACCGTTCTGGTGGTTCTTGTACTAAAATTGACCAAACCGTATACATCATTATTGAAAAACACGAGCTGGTTTCCTACATCCATCGGTCTAAATTTATTGAACTACAAAATACCTATACATACATGTAACATCAAGACTACGCGTGGACTACAGTCTTTGAACGTGTTATGTTCCAACATGCAAAGAGGTCCACGTTCCGAATCTATGCCTGTCCCTTATGAATCGGAAAGAGTGCTAAATAATTAGATTTAATCAATGATCGACTGAGCAAATGGTCAGACAGATCTTACTATATTACAAGGTGTGTGATAGGTCAACATGAACATATATTATCTCTGATTTTCGAAGAGGAAACTGCTCAATAATGTTGCAAATTATACACTGTTTGTTCCAAGTTAGCCAAAGTTATTTTTATGCACAGTCATAACCTAACAACAGTTGAAAACACCTAAAGTCATTTTGATCGCTAAGAACAAACTTTTGAAGTGATGCAGCCAAAACGCATTCATATTTTGTAGACATTTTCAAAACAGAAAGCTCGGTTGGTTTTCAGTTGGCTATATTTGCATGCTTCAATTCTTCTATAGCAGTTGTAAGCGAGACACGAATCAAGTAAGGAACATTTGATCGTGCCTTTATTTGTATGAAACCGAATTCAAGCTGCAGGTTCCAAAGTAAAAGGATGTTTAATAAGCTGTTATGATTAAGCTCAAAGTTTTGGGCAATAACTTCTTTACTACAATTACATGATTTATCTTTAAGTTAAAAATCATCTAACAATGATTCAACTCAGTACTTTAAAGTCTCTTTCACTAAATGTTGTTTATTCGTGTGAAAATCTTCTACACGTATTCGATGAGTCGACTTCAGGTGGGCGGCCTATTCATTTCATTTCATTTTCATTCATTTTATTTAAAATGTTTAATGAGGGTAGCCCTTCAGCAATGCTGATTTTCAAGGGGCCCTCCACTTTAAATACTTACAGAAATTATTATAAAAAAAATTATGCTAATTATAATTCAATATTTACAATCTAAAAAAATCCTATTTTAACTTGAGTTAAATTTTACTACAAATATCTATAACGAAAGGCGAAATGGTAATTTCCAGTATACAATTTACAATTACTCCTATTTACAATTTCGCAAGGTTTTTGTTGAAGTTGGTCAAGGTAGATGCCTGTTTACACTCAGCTGAAAGGCCATTCCAAGACCTAGCACCTCTAAACGAGAAGCATTTCTGTCCATTTTTGGAGTTTTTCGAATTTAACTTGGATTTCTCTGTGAAAAGATCACACATGTATTGTAGAGCCAGTCCATGAATCGATTTGAAGACCATGATATTTGACTCATTAGCGATTAGCTCGTCTATGGTCATCCAGCCCAGCTCCTTTATGAGTGGTTGGCTCGGTGCATCAAAACTGCTGCCAGATACAATACGAGCAGCCCGGTTTTGTAGTTTTTGTAAGCGTTTGATTTCGGTGTGACCACAACAGCCCCACACCGAACAACAATAGCGAAATACTGACTCTGATTCAAACCATTCTAATGGCTGTTGCTGAATACCATAAAACTCCAGCTTTTTGCATAGTTACCATGGTCAACCGTGTCAAATGCCTTTTTCAGGTCAATAAAAACTAATCCCACTAGCTTCCCCAAATCTAGTCCTTTATACCAGTCATCAGTGTTTTTAAGCAAACATGTTACGGTAGAGTGAAGTTTACGAAAGCTAGACTATTCTGGGGATAAATATACATTATCATTCATGTGCTGGTACAATTGGTTAGTCACAAGTCTTTCGAAGAGCCTTGAGATGACAGCTAAAACTGATATAGGGCGATAGTTAGACTTATCAGTTTTGTCCCCTTCTTTAAAAATTGGGGTAACTCTGGCCAATTTCCATGAATCTGGAAAAGTGTTAGTTTCAAGTGATGTATTGAACAAACAGGCCAAAGCATTCTGACTGTGAAGTAAGACCAGTTTTAGAAAATAGCAGGAGATATTGTCATTCACAAAGCTCTTTGAAGACTTGGTTTTGGAAATCGCATTCCTAATTTCCTGCACTTCCAAATTGTACCTTTTCAGTTTCTGCTAGAAATGGTTGCTGATGCGTTTTCTTAGCCGAACTTGATATCTCTCAATTCAAGTTAAATGGCAGCAGTAAAAGACGTTGGTGGGAAGAGTTTGGGGATCACAGTGGCACCCGGGATAAGAAATTCTCTTATTGAGTAATGTTTGTAATTTGGTGAAACCCTTAATTGACTCCCAAAGTGTGATTACCGGCTACTGTAAGTGCAACGAAAATACTATCGCGATACTCAATACATGGTGTCAATCGTTTTTTATACACATGGGTTTCAAAAAAGCACGGAGAAGAGGAAAGACGTCATACAAGGGTGACTTTCGCCCAAAACTGCTCAGAGGATAAAAGATGAAAAATGTCCTTTGGCCTTAAACTGCTCAGAGGATAAAAGGCGAATAATGTCCTTTCGCCTAAAACTTCTTAGAGGATTAAAGGCGAATAATGTCCTTTCGCCTAAAACTTCTTAGAGGATTAAAGGCGAATAATGTCCTTTCGCCTAAAACTTCTTAGAGGATTAAAGGCAAATAATGTCCTTTCGCCTAAAACTTCTTAGAGGATAAAAGACGAATAACGTTCTTTCACCCAAAACTTCTCAGAGGATTAAAGGCGAATAATGTCCTTTTGCCTAAAACTTCTTAGAGGATTAAAGGCAGAAGATAAAAGGCGAATAATGTCCTTTCGCCTAAAACTGCTCAGAGGATAGAAGACAAATGATCCCTTTCGCCCAGACTGCTCAGAGGATAACATACGAGTAATGTCCTTTCGCCCACAACTGCACAGGGGATAAAAGACGACTTAAACCTGCTCAGAAGATAAAAGATGAATAATGTCCTAAGGGAAACAGAAAGTTTAAATCCTTGGTTTGCAAAGTATAAACGGGAGAAAAAATAATCGCGGCCTATGGAGACGATAGAAATGTTTAGGTACAATAATACAAACAAAAAGAGTGTTGCGGCTGAAAGACGGGTAACAAAATTTAAAGGTTAGGCAAACAAAGAAAGATAATATTCAAGAATTAACAAAAAGCTACAAAATACTAGAAAAGGAATTCGCCGCAGAATTAATGTTTGGCAGTTAACGAAGTCATGGAAAGGGAGGGAAGGAGGGGAGAGGGGCGTTTGAAATCTCAAAAGAATTTCCTTCATCACGTTGAAAAACTACTTAACCAAAAAAACCAAGAAACAGATTCATAGAATAAACACAACACGTTTATCTACAGTTGTTATATATTCTAAGCAAGACAAAGTAGCAAAAATATAAAAAGAACAATCTATGATGTGACTTCTTTTTCGCACTCTAAGCTGTTTGTTTCTGATCGAAAAAACATCTGCTTGTTACAATTTTGTGCATCAACTTCTTCATTATCGTTGCATAATTTATCTTTAAGTTCCAATTCGTCTAACAATGAATCAACACAGTGTTTTAAAGTCTCTTCAACCAAATGTCGTTCATTCGCGTGAAAATCTCCTAAAACGTATTCGATGACTTGACTTTGATCAGGAGGTCGGCCTATTCCAATTTTGTATCTTTTCAGCCTCTGCAAAAAATAGTTGTTGATGCATTTTCGCAGCCTTTGATGGCATATAAAGATTTTCCTCCTTCGGTATGGAGATAATCCATGACTGATTAAGCTTGAGAATGAATAAATTTATTTCTTGGTTGAAGCTGCGTTTCCACTACACAAATGTTTTGACGCCAATCGATTCGCTTTTTACAAAATAACGCCTACAAATATAATCAACGAAGTGGGGCCAGAATCAGATAAGCATAGACAGCTTATGTTATGTTATTTATGAGATTGCTTGAGCCAAGCTTGAATGTATCGGCTAGTGTCCACAATTTTTTGAGTCACAGATCAAAGACTGATCGGTCTCTTCACAAAAAGCGAAATAATTCGTAGTGACTCGGTGGGTTACCCTCGTGGTCATGTCGAATTTATATGAAAGCCCAATCTCCAGTGAGAAGAAATCAGCTAAATGCGAAAAAAAGTTCGCACGAAATACGTCTTGGACATGCGCAGTGAACTTTTTTTTCTGGGATTTATCGCGATTTTCTGCAAAATTTAGAATTTTTCTGCAAAAAATAGTTAAAATGAGTTTAACCTTTTCGCTTTTCGCTTTTCGCTTTTCGCTTCCAAAATCGTTCAGCAGCCAATCATAATCCGTTCTGCTTTGTCAAGCTTCCAAGCTTTATGTTTCATTATCGTGAGGTCAACAAGCACATTCACTGGAATTTTTTCGCGTGCAGTAATTCGTAGTGAAATTTCGCAAGACTTTTTCTCACTGGGCTAAGCGGCCTAATTCGTGAGCTCGCGGACCTCGGCTGCGTTTACACGATACCGGATTGCTTTTCATATCGGATTGGTCTCAGCTATCCGATATGAAAAGCATACCGTTTAGACTGCGTTTACACGATACCGGATTGATATTCATACCGTTTTCATCCTGTTTACACGACAACGCTCCGCTATTCACTGTTGAGGATACTTCTTTTGTTTCGATTTTTAGCAATGTAAAATTCTGGTGATTTCGTTAGTCTACTGAGGTGAGGAAGGTCTCGGGGAAATCACTTTAGTATAGAATATGAGTGCTGGCCACTGGCACAGAAGAAGAAAATGTAAGCAGAAGGGGGGGGGGGGGTGGCGGAAGTCCAATTGCAGCCTGAATCGGTAAAGGCATATGCCAGTGAATGCCTTTTCGAGGGAAGGGATTAAAAAGATGTAGTGTCGAATGATGACAAGATAAAATATTTTTTGGTAAACGTTACCCGAAGGGTAAAGATGTAGAATCCGTTGGTGAGAACTTTCCTTGAGATTCAGAACGAGGTTCCGGAGTGAAAGCGTATCAGATTCACCCGTTTACACGAGATGGAATGTGGTACGGGACGTATCGGATCACTTTTCATACCACTTTCACAGCGGAGTGATTTCACTCCGCAAAAGTGGTATAGGACGTATCGGATTAATGCGGGGCCGTGTAAACGGGACCCCTATCCGATATGAAAAGTAATCCGATACGTGAGTAATCCGGTATCGTGTAAACGCAGCCCTCGTGCTCTGCTACTAATCCTTACCGATAACATCTAAATTCCTACGATCAACTTTTTAATATATATATAAACATTACAAATTGCGATCAGCTTTTCGCAAATCGAACTTTTTCGTTACGTAATTGGGAAGAATCACACAATGCATACTATCATAAACAAACGATGATTCATGGAAAAAAATTTTTCCAGTGGAAACCCAGCTTTGACGCAGAGTTCATGGTAATATGCAGGAATTTCAAGGGTACAGGCCCAGTCAACGAATCATAATGTTAACCTCGTATTGTTGATGGATGCGAAAAAATAAAAAGGAATGAAGAGAGCCCGAAGAGATAGAAGTATATGAGGAAATATAATACAACTGTTGAAGATGAAGTGGTTAGAAAAAACTCTAACTTACAACAGGACATTTTGTTGTCAACTTCCCCCTCCCTATGAAGAACATAAATTGATTGCACAGAAAGATAGGTTCAACACTGGCCAACCTGCTCTGTCATGAGCTTAAAAAGAGGCAATAGTGAAACAGAGGCTCAAGGAGTAAGTGAAAACCCACCCGGATCTACCCCGGCTTATCAATGATTTTTAAGAATTTAGAATCTATCAATAATGCATACGAGACAGGAAAATCGGCCACTCTAACCATAGCAATTATTACAAGCGAAAATTAACAGAGACTGCGACCGCTTTCTTTATTCCTTTCACAAATCAGTTGACAGCAATACGACTTCTTGTGACGGTAGCTGCTCACCATAAAGAAGACAGCACAAGGTGTTCTCTTTTTGACAATTTTGCATTGATAAAGAAAGCTTTCTAAAGGACAGGTGGGATGTTAGTGAAGGTTCCGAAATATGCAGAGTGCAAATTCTTCTAGTTCACCCAGCGGTTATCATAAATTTGAAATACATTCAATTTTGGGTAAATATTTGTAAACAGAGACATAAAATTGAGCATCTTTTAATCAGATAAAATGTTAAAGTAACCGGAGTAACAACATAAGTTGCATTATTTTCTTTTTTCCTAAGCTTCTAGCAGACAAGATAATTCAGGTTTTAGATTTTAGAAATTCTAGATTTTAGTTGACTGAAATTCTAAGCACGGCACACCGCTTTAAGAGGCCGGGCATTGTTTCCCAGGAGTAAAGAGCTCTTTAGTGATGACGTAATAAAATATTTTTTCAAGATTCTTCAAACGTGGATCACACAATATGACAAAATTTTTTCTGCTTTAGCTGATATATGGCGACAAAAGCACAAGCTCTTTGGCCTATCAAATCACTTACATTTTGCGTTGGTTCTAAAATTTATGAACCAGGCCAAAATAACAATAATATTTTACTTGCTATATTTAATTTTATTTACAATAGATTCAATTCATATATTGAGGCATTTCATGGTCTCCAGGTCATAACGACATCAGATTTTCTCATTTAAGAACTTTACATTCAAATTTAAGAACTTAATTGCAAAACTGATATAACAGAGTGTTGGGGAAGATAAACTTAAAAAAAGGTTCGAGTACTTCTTAGAAAGACCCCGACACCTTTATTCCTAGTTCATCTTATTTATCTTAACCAACATGATACGTATTGCGTAGGAAAGCAATTTTGGATTTTATTTTTCAAATGGTCAAATCTTTCCAGTATAGGGCCATGAGATTACAAAAATAAGATTTGGTAACAAAATGTATTTCAAAGATAGAAGAAAGGACAGAAAGACCAGAAAAATTAAATTTATTTATTTTAATTTAAAATTTTAAGCCCAAAGGCTTGGTTTTGAAACTGAATACAGGGGCTTGAATACAAGGTTGGATCGCTTGCAGCGTAATAGTGTTAGCGACGACTGAAAAGCATCAGAAAAAAAATTTAATGAGAAAATTCAGTATTGACTTACATCAGTTTTCAAAGAAGTTATGGCTGATCGCACTCCATTATGACCACTGTAAAAAAGAAAGAAAATTACGACATAATATCAAGGTATCATAAAATGCCACACACTGTTGCTGATAAAACTGCCAAATTTAAAAACTGCTTTTGATAACATTGTCAAATTTATTAATCGAGAAGATTCCTTAGATTGAGACAGAAAAACATAAGTTTCCGTCTCAAGTGGCTAGTCTGGGTCTACAAGATAAGACTATTACAGTCGTAAGTGCAAACGGGGAAACAGAATAAAAAAATCAAAATTAAAAATATGCAATTCGGGGTCTAGAAAATCAACCTGGGAAAGAAATACATATCAACCACCAATCGACGTTTTGTCTTTTTAGCCCAGGCCAACGTAAACACCAATCAATATAGAGCCCGGCGAACAAACAACTGAGACATGGCAAAATCGTAACAGTTGAGATATCTATTGTTTCTAACAATAGGTGCTCTACTGATTTGCAGTGCATCCAGCAAAATTCGTTCTTGCTGCATTTGTCAACTTTTGCCCGATCCCTCAAAGATACTGCTGTCCTGTCTTTAAGTAGGACAAAACTGTAACAACATAAAGTGAAAAAATCTGTCCTCGATGCCCAGGCTTGACGGGCCACAAAAACTCTCTTCCCAGGTCGTAGGTTGCCCAACCCTGTTCTTCATATTCCGATTTATCGATGAATGACTGACTAGACGTATTTATTCGATTCAATAAATCTGAAGCAAAACTGACTTGATAAATCTAAATCGACTTTGAAATTAGGCAATCATGTAGGCCAGTCTGTCCCCCAATTGGTGAATAATCAGCGATAACAGCCAATCAAAGACGATACAGATGGCTAAAATCTCATTGGTTATATTAGATTTTGCTGCAAAGACAGGCTTCCTTTAAACGAGTTTTCTCGTTATTAAAGAAATATGGATGTATCCTCGAAAATGACATACAGAATTTCCAAACGAAGCGGGTCGTAATTTAATGAAAACATACACGATAAGATGAAAGAAGAATTCTCATTCTAAAATCAGCCCGATGCTTTTCAAGGCATATTGAATTTTGCAATTTCATATTCGCTGCTATTTAGACTTCGAAGGTAGCTTCAGGATACTAAGCAGTGTGATTCTTATGCCTGCAGTAATAAAGGGATAGCGACTCCCCTCTCTCTAAGGTAAATTTAGTCATGGCAGTGACCTGTGGCGTACCCAGGGCTGCAGTAGAGAGGGGGTCTGGGGCGTAGCCCCCAGAAATTTTTTAAACCACGCCCTTCAAACACTCGCAAATGCGGGGAGACGCCCTTTTGCGAGATTTTCCCCCTATTATTTGATTCATGTTAGCTAGAGTAAATAGCAATGTATTTTACAATTGTTATTGACACAAGCATACAGTATACTACACCCCCTCCCCCCAATGAGTTTTACATGGTTTTGGACAAATCTCGAAAATCATATTTTAAAAAAGTGTGGGGGTCCGGATCCCCCTATTCCCCCCCCCCTTGGGTACGCGACTGGCAGTGGCTCGCACCACAGATACTTGGACCTGTAGTCCACGACCTTAACCACTGTGCCATCCCTCCACAAACTCCTGGTATTGCGTTTAAAAATAACTGCTTATTTGCTTTCATTTATTGCTTTTAGATTAGATTAATTAGGAGCGACCTTAAAAATGCATGAAGTGACGTAAATGCAGTCAAACATACTTGTTTGTATGCGCAGCTTAGGTAGAAGGCCGGCAGCCAGTGCAATCAAAGAAAATAATGTTAATTGTAATGGTCAGCAAAGAGTTTAATAATATGTGAATAAAAACTGAATTCCGTCTGGTTTTTTATTAAGAAGAATCTGGCTGATTCCTTTGACGGAGAAACCGTACAACGAATTTACAAAAAATCTCATGTTTAGCCATTTAATAAATTAAACAATTGAAACTGGAAATGTCATCTAAATAAAGCTAAAACGTAATAACATTAAATTAATGATGAAAATAAAAATGAAATCATCCTTTGGAAAGAAGACGACAGAAAAATTTAGCGCAATGACCTGACAAATCTTTTGCCAGTTTGAAAAAATCATGATTTTTAGAGGCTACTGAATAAAAAAATCGAAGCAGTTGCCTTTAATTCCGTTTAAAATACCGATGTTAAAAATTTACCATAGTGTAACAATTTTTGCATACTGAAATATTTTTTCGTTCTGATAAAGCGTGCGATTATCCTTAAATGTTTGTTGCGGGTGTAGTAGCAGGACTACACCCTTGCAAACCTTGAATGAATGAATAAGTAATATCATTTTTTAGAAGAAGCTAAGATTGCCAATGACAACTACTAACATCCAATGGCAAAAGAGTTCTTACATGACAACGTCAGAGAAATCTATTTTTAGACATAATCTGAAAAAGCATCATGAAATACCTCTAATTGAGCAAAATCAGTTAAATGTGTTACGAATTGGCTGCGAAATGGCCACATGAGCAAAGGATCTACCATAATCAAACCTCTGTAAATGGTTTTTGTTCATAACATTATGAACAGAGCCAAAATCACAGTAATACCTTGGCAAAATTCAAATCTTTTATTGGCCATACCTCACCCGAATTTGGACATATTTAAATGATTTTGCAATGATGGAAGTATTTCATGATGTTCTTTTATATGTTTTGTGGTCAAAATCTAAAAATTCTCAAAACAGGCTTGTTGCGAAATTACAGTAAAGAACCCAATTACTGGCATCCAGTGGCAAGCATAATTGTAACATCTTCTCTTACCCTTGAAATAAAAACACAATTTTCGCATCCTCGTCAATTTACGTTTTGACATTACCAAAATGATATGATGTTACCATCCTTTTTTTTCTGGGGAAAAGGGAGCAGTATACGGGAGAAAAAATGTGTAATAAAATACAATCAATGACTAAGATGGGCCTCGTTTTCATTACGCTTAATATTTAGCCTCGTTACTACTTTCAGCTCAGGTCGGTAGACAGTCCAGACATTAGGATTGCTATTGAGCAGGCTCAAGACATCAAGAAATGGTCTTGTGTGTTGCCTCGCACTGAGTCGTGAACTCTTGGAAAAAAGTGTTTTGAAGAGGAAGAAGAAGTTGCTACTTCATTGATCCACGTAAAAATGAGCGCCTTAGCTATGTTTGATTAAAAGGTTGTCGTGTTCCAATCGAAACGTTGGTTCACATCTTTCTTTCACCTCTACACGTGAATGTAAAGTGGATAAAAAATGTGAAAATAAAAAAATGAACAAAAAACATTTTTTACTGATAAATAATTAATATTAGAATGAAACTGCCACCACGAATAATATTGGCAGCATTGTTAATGCTCGACGTTAACTTATTCTTAATTGATGCAGAACATCTGCTGCCATGTTGGACATCAAGCCAGCAGCAAGATCGTTTTGCGTTTCACTTGCAAAATAATGCCATGTTTTTAATAGTTTTCGCACTTCAAAAGGCATTCTGAAAATTAATTCCTGTATTTTGATCTTGACTTGTGTTTTAGGCTAGCATCTTCCAGGCTTTTCCTGGCTAGCAACTCCTGCTATCGGAAAATACTGACCAGTTTTAATGAAGTAAATCTATTTGTTGCTTAATTTATGAGACATTAAAGAAAAAGCTTGCACCTTTGTGATAGATACGAGGAAAGAATGAAGATTTGCAAGAAACAATGGTAGTATAACGTTTTAGATGTGATGATTTTGTCTCTAAGCAGATTGCTTAAAATAATATAAAAAATCATTGGGACAAAACACCTCTCCGCCATAGTTCAGACAATTGAGTCACACCTTTCTGTATTCTCGGGCCTCACTGATTATTCATGTAATGATTGCAAAGCCATTCTGAAAATTATACCACTGGTAGTTTGAAATTCGCAGGTACCAACAAAATTTCATTCAGCCCTGTTTGTTACTCTGCCACAGGCATAACCTACTATTGCGAGATTCGATCATTTCTATTCATAGTAAAATACTTTTTGCTCTGCTGGTAAGTCTAGAACCCCGTTTAAGGTAAACAAGTTGAAAAGCTTACTTTGATAGCGATTACATTAAAAACTAACACGACAACTTCTTATATTGACATAGAAAAAGCTGATAGAAGGAGTTCTGCTATAAAAAAAGCACTCACACCAGCATGCAGGAAATGCTTCAATAGCAAAAGTTAGCAAAATCATGCATTGCATCTACAAATGGTGATGTGTGGACAAGTAAATCAAAGAAAAAGCCAATAATACCTGAAACGATGTAATGAAAACAGGAAAAAACAAATTTTCCTGTTAGTTCAACAGTTTTTTCGCGAAACAAGATGCTTGAACAACAAAAACCAGTTGAAAAGCGAATGGTACAGAATTAGTGCGGATTTAATTTGAATGTGTCAAGTAAAACCAGTGCACATTTCTATAAATCCGGGACACATTAAATTCATTATCAGAACTCATGTTGAAAACTGTTTTATAAATTTTAACATACATTGATGAGTTTGCAAAAACTCTTGGTGGCAAATTAATTTCATAAATGAATTTTGTATCGGGCTTTTGAATAAAATTTTTGATCTGAACAGTAAATTAGCACAGCCATAAAAAACGGGATTTTCTTTTTTGAATAAAAAATCTCCCGTAGTCTTCTAGCAAGACTATTTAGTACATCTTAAATTTTTCAGAATTTTCCCTTCATAATTATACCAACCAGCTTAGGCAGACATATGCCTGAGTGAAATTGTTGCATTTCTTTGCAAGTTTAATACACTAAACGGAAATGGTATTTCGACGCAAAAGGAAGGGTTATGGAGATAAAAGGAATCTTCAAATGGGAAACTCCATGAAAAATATACCGAATAGAACTTTCCAAGTGAAGTTTCAGAGGTCTGTAGAAAGTCTTTAATATACAGTAGAATAGTTCCACAATTGAGCATAATTACCTTGCACTTCCTTCTAATTTGATACGCAGTTTTCCAACAGGTTTATCAAGATCGTCCTGCAATAATATTATGTTATCTGTAAGCACACCATGGGTCTTCACTATGGAGAAAAAATAAAAGGTACCACAACGCTCATAACGTTCGTAGAGGGTCATAACGTTCGATTGAATATTTTCTAGAAATAATATCATAGCAATATGCAAGCTACATATCATGGGTTTTAGGTTATTTTGGGCCATATTAAACTGAAATGCAACACTGTGAAAGCTAAGAAACACCTTTGTTGATATTCTGCAAATAAGAGATGCATATATAAAGAGAACGGGCATTTCCAATTGCATGTAAATCAACTACTTGTGCAGAGCCAAACATGCAACAATTAAAGAGAGATGCCTACCATAAAATCATCAAGAAGAAAGAAAATAAAAACACTACTTATTATTACTATTTGTTATAATTCATATCAGAATCTGACTTTTTCAATTCTAAAGTTGAACCAATCACGTAACAAGTAACGTAGGGTCATGTCACGGATCATGTCACGTGACAATGAAAGTTGGCTTTACCTAAAAACCTAGAAAAGCTTGTCTTAGAAACTTATCAGTAGCAAGTAACAACGCCATGGTTAGTACCAACAATATAGCAAGCCTTTGCTTGGTTCATCTCAGCTCAATCGTGTTGGTAGCTTAATGGCTCCAAAACAAAACATAGTTGTCGCTCGCGCAAATCGTGACAATTTACCTTTCAAATATCCTGATCATCCTATCTATATTATTTTCAGAAAATATTTAAACATTATTTTCACAAGAATGGCGAAAAATGTGCTGTCAGTTGGTCATCTTGAATTTTTCTTGTCGCGAAAGTTTATACTCTAATCTTTAGTTATTCATTGTGAATTGTTATGTAAAATGTTCACGTATTTGGTGAAAACTGTCAGGTGATTACTTAGCTTATCCAATATATTTATAACACATATTCTAAAATATAGATTAAGTAAGATGACAAAGTAGAGATTAGATTAAGGGGAACCTTTAGAAGATACTCCAAAAAGGATTACCTTTTCTCCTTGTGTCGACCTATCTATCTCTATGCTCTTTGCGTTCATCTATAATTTCATAAATCTATCAAAAGGGTTTTTAAAAAATATTTACCTGCTTTAAGTATACTCTTCCCATTAATGTTCATCGCAAGCTTTGGTTTCAGAAGGACAACTTGAAATTTCTCACTAAGGTAATTTGCTATAAAACCAGAACATCGCTTTTCGTATACCCACTTCACTCCGAGATGGTCTGCTAGTTTATTCAACGCGGACATGCCAACACTATGCCTCGTTGTAGGCAAGCTGTAGTTCCCAAGCCCAACCACCTAGCATAAAAAAATTAGATAAATAACAAAAGTCAAATTATAACAACTGCTAAACATTAATAAATATAGCACAAGAAAACATTTATGTAAGCTAATCTAAGTAATTAAAAATTTTCAAACGTTTTGGTTTCAATTGTTCAATTGTTGGTTTCAATTCATAAAATTGTTTTTAGAATTGTGAAATATAAAATACAGTAATGAAAATCTATGACCAACAACATGTCTATATATTTCATGATTTGTTACAGTTTTGCAAGATTTCCCTCATTTTAAAGTTTCAAACCCACTAATTTAAACATATTGAAGATTATAATTAAAACAAAATGTCCCACAAAGACAATAGTCAATAGAAAAAGGAATGAGTTGATCCTCACAAATGTTTGCTTTCGTGAAGAGAAGACAAAAATATTTTTGTAGAAATAAAGCGAGAGTCGTTGTTTTGTTAACTAGAATGTAATGATAAAAATCTCAAAATACAGCAATTTCCCTTAAAACCAGGTGACATTATTTTCATAGCTTAATATCGCTGTTTTGTGCCAGGAAACTTTTTTTCAATTGACTTTTATGCATAGATTTTGTCAAGACATATTTCACATAAACAAGCAGTTGATGTGGTGATAAGCAGCTGATAAGGTAGTGGGCATATTGTCAGATTTTACATTAACCACAATTGCGATGAAACATTGCAGAATTTGACTCGCCTTAAATCCTCTGACTTTTTAACTAAATGCAATGCAAAGTTGAAGATGTAAGAAAACTTACAGATACAGAGTAATATTTTGGATGACATCAAAGCGGAATTGGATGCTCTGAGATTTAGTTGCATGATTTTAATGCAATTTCTTAACATTTCACAGTGTATTTCCATAAAAATGTTTTGATTAAAAATACATGTCTATGTTAAGTTTATCATTAATGCTGGCAGAACAGAAGTCAATAAGATGCTCATAGGAGCTATAAACATTATGTTTTTGATAGGGGCTTATTTGGGGGGGAGGGTCTATTCAAATTGGGCTTTTCTAACTATATGCTGAAACAGTATATTTGAAAAAATACTTAAGTATCATTTGTTTATAAATCAATTCTATGCAAGTAACCAATTTAGTAACCAAGTTTCCATGTCCATTTTATCATCATCAAAACAATCTGCATCAACTAGCAATTTGGGCAGTGCAGCCAGATCAACATCCTCTGGAAATAAATCAAATGTTTATCTGCTGTTGACACCATACCCAAGCCCTGAAAACTATTACTGATCAAAATACGAACATGTTTTCAATTTTTCTATGGATGCCACAACCTCCCTATGAAAGATTATTTGACCGGTCTATCCAACGAGACTTAATGTAATTCTGAGATGGGGGCTTTATCCAAGGTGCCAGCTTATTCAACGATTTATAGTTGTTAATACTATGTGCAACAGACAACTGTTAGGGATACAAAAAGCAAATAGGGGTTTCAGGGACTCAATCAATTTCTGAATTCACCCTAATGTAAAAGATCAGGTTTCCCACTTATCAAACACAAATCAAATTTAGTTAATTTTTTATGAAAAGAATGGACTTGGATTTCAATAGCCTGAAACATAGCTTTTAAATTGAAAAATGATTTTAAATAAACAATAAAAATCAATTATGTTTAGTTGGGGTTTCAAGTCAGGAAGCCAAAGACATACTATTCAGTTTTTATTTTGTCCAAATTTTCAATTCAACACAAAACTGAACCAATGTTTATGAAAGGCAATGGATACAGAAGAAGATGATACATCTGTTGAAGAAATCTGTGAGAATACTTTTTACAATGAAACAAACCATTCATTATGAAAGATTGGAAGTACATTGTTATCATAACTTTTCAACTTAATTGATAAATCAGAGTTATGTTCTGAAAAGAAAATAATTACAACAGTTGTTACAAAATTCCATTGGCTTGTGTCTAGTTGCAGTTGAATTTTACTAGCATACAACAAATCACAGGGTATTTTGCTAGAGCCTAATTGAGTACCAAAGACTATCATTCTGGGTACACAGGTTACAGATCCACTAGCTACAAGCTGCTGGGGCCTTCTCTCATGTTAGCGAAAATAATCTTGCTTGTTTCTTTGTTCTTTGTTGTTGATAGTATTGGAACTGTTGTAGCTCCAGATATACTTTCTCCACACTTTTCTTGAGTTTTTAATTATGGTAGTGATGAAGCAGTTTCCTTCTTTTGCTGGGAAATTGAAGCCAGAGACGGATTTAGAAGGGGGTGTAGGGGGCAACAACCCCCCCCCCCCAATATTTCTATGTCTTTCAGTAAACATTGTTTCATTCGGTAAAAATCATTTAATGATAGTCAGTATTAACAAAATAACGCCAAGATTTTACTTTATTTTTTTCTTAGCAGCATTTATCTTCTTATCAAAAGCGTAGTGAGGGGGGAGGAATATTCTGAAATATATTTTAAGCTAATTTCAAGGGCATCATCACAAAACATTTTTCATTTCTTTGCTAGCAGGAGACCCTCCTCTGTGTCTTTACAGAATGTTCAACACTTTCCCTCCTTCGCCTTCTTGAGACATTCCCAATAAAATAGAAACTAAAATGCTGAAGCAATCCAATCCTTAAAAAAACTGGATTCTGAAATGCTTCTCATGGATTTTGCTCCAAGGAGAACCGACTTGGCTTAAAACTTTTGAATACTGTTTACTATTCTTAGATATTTGATAAAAATTTTGGAAAATCACTTTGCTTCCTCGCCTTACACAATCCAGGATATAAATGTTAGTGGAATGGTGAAGGAAATAGACAGTTGTAAAATATGGTCAGCTGCAAAATGCTACCAATGACATTGTATAAAGGGAAATTGCCACTTAAAAATGCCATAGCTTTTCCAAACGCATTTACAAGTCAGCAAAAATTGTCTCCCATATGCCCCACCAATCATTGTCTCCACCTTAAAGTTGAAAATCATTTACCAGTGACCTGAAAGGTGCGGCACCAAAATTAGTGTCTAACACCCTTTCAATCATTGTTGCTTAAATCTGCCCCTGATTGAAGCACATAGTCTTTGATTTGATTTGCCTTTCTTTGAAAGTTCCATAATTATACCTTGTTTTGAAAATTTTCTAGCATTTTCTATCTACCATAAGGACATTACGTATCAGTTTCAACATCAGATTTAACATTTATGGTTGTTTTAATCGTGAAACTCAGAGTAGCAACTTAAAACTGTCCAGAGGGGGGGGGGATACTCCAATAATGGCCGGTGTCTAGTCAGGGTAAAAAGGGCCAAAGCTAAAATATTAGCAAATTATTCTCAAATGGTAGTATTTTGGTAGTAACCCTACAATGGTAGCATAAGCATGGAAATTATGTCCTTTTTTGACAAATTTCTTTGCCATTGACCATTGTGGATTCAGGAAAGATAAAATATTGCCCACTATCTATAATAAATCGAAAGCTAAACTAAGCCGTTGTGTAACTATCAAAATTGGGCCATTTGGTAGCCAGTTGGTAAGACCCTCAAATCGACTGAACAGTATTACTGAACAGTATGTCAGGCCATAAAAGTATTACTGAAACAAACTCCTTAGATATCAGTGGTTTTGTGTTTGTCACAGACTGGTAACTCTGCTGATTTGGAACTTTTCAGAATAATTGGGAAACTCTGGTATCAAATTCTGTTCTTAACACTGCCAATAAGCAACAAAGCATAGCACTGTTACGACCGCAAAGGGTTAGTCTAAAGCAAATTCTGTTTTTTCGACTGTCAATAAACGAAACAACAAACATATGTACATAGCACTGTTTACAACTGCAAATGGTCGAGTTTCTGTATTCAAGAGTCAAAAAATTGAAAAATTACCAGCTTTATCAATGACTTGGTCATTGTGGCAGCATCCCTTTTTTTCACTGTTTCGACACAAGGATGAAGATAAAATGAGATAATAATCACAAGATCGGCAATAAAAAAAATATTGTGTAATGAGTTGCAATGTTACTTCATCCTCGAAATGAATTTTTTTGTCTCGTATTGATTTTCGTCATTCTTAGAAAAAACATGGCTGCAACAAGCTTGGTGATCAAGTCAAGAGTTCCGCTTTTTAATTATGGCAAAAAGTTCGCGCGTCTTGATCAAATTAGAGGGACAAAAAGGTTCATATCAATAGCAAATACTTCATTTTCATCTTGCCAAAAGTCGTTTGGTTGCACATCATGCAATTTTACACCATATTTTGAAAGAAATACATTCAGGATTGAGAGAACTTCTTGTGTTAATCCATTTCCATTTCAACAAATAAGTAGGCACCTAAAAACCTGCATTGTTCAGAATAGTACCAATGAAACACCAGGATCAGCAGAACTTGGCAAAATTGATTTGGACAAAATGCAAATTGTTTTTACTTGCAACGTGTGTCAAGAAAGGTCATCCAGAATTATCAGCAAGTTGGCTTACGAAAAGGGTGTGATCATTATTAAATGTTTTGGATGTGAAAATAATCACCTGATTGCGGATAACCTTGGCTGGTTTTTTGACGAAAAAAAGTAAGGACTACAAGTATAAATATCATCTTCTGAAGGAGTGTTGTACTAACATCACCAACCAGGACAAAATTATTGCACCACTGCATTCAAAATAGCATCCAAAAATCTTTGCAAACTTATAACTTTACACTGAAATATAAGATATCATTATCATGCAAAACCAAGAGTCAATTTCTTTGAAATTTATTGGCAATTTTGAAATTTTTAGACGAACCATGTAAACATAAGAAATTATACAGTCATTAGAAAAATTAACTGCAGCGATGAAATCAAAATAATTACAGGATAAGGAGTAAGAAGTTGTGATCAAACTTAGTGTCAATGGTCTTTCATTCAAAAGATTTCAAAACTTTAAATAAAAATGATAGCACAATAGTGAGAGTTTAGGAAACAAATTTAGTCATAAGTCCTGACATTTTTAGCCCAAAAGTTTTTCAGCTCAACTTGGGTAGCTTTTGGTACAGTTAGGACCAAATGAATTGGAAAATTTGCAACTAGCAACATGCAAGTTATTGAGGTGAAATTTGTAGCAAAATGCAAAACAGCTATTTCGGTGGAATCAAATCAATTCTAGGGAAATGAGGGAGGCAATTAAGCTGTAAATCTGTAACCTCTTTGTCTTTCTTCAGCCTTCATTAATGACTGTTGCTCAACTGGCACGCTTTGCGACTATTATTCAAATAACCAGCCTAGTATTGTACTACATGAAAATACAAAACACAGTCAATTTTTCAAAGACAACTGCTGCTAAGCATGCCGGTTGAGACAAAACCTAGGTTGCGCAAGAGCCTTTGAAACAAAACCTTAATATAAGCGAATATTTCTTTCTGAAAATGAAAATGATCTGCTTTGTAATCCACGAGGTCCTCTTAGGTCCAAAAAAGCACTGACTTAGAGCCTTAATGGAGAATGAAGGAGAATCCAGTGCATTTCATCAAAAAATTCTCTATCAATTCCAAATCAATTTTCCACAGTATTAGAGTCAGAAGCACCTCCAATAAATGCTTATTTGATTAAAAGTTGCTTCAATTGTTGATTAAAAGTTTTAAAAAAATGAAAAATTGAATGTTCAAATTTATGCTGCATTTAATTTGCTGCCTTGTTTGAGGGCCATTGGCTGATTAAACAATAGCTTAATCAGATAACAACAAAAGTTATTGCATGATCGGCCATTGATTGCCTTTGCCAGTGTTGCAATTCTTTTGTCCTGGTAGTGTATGTAATGAGAATATTGTTCAGGTAATAGAGCATTTTTGGCAATGGCAAGATGTTTTTTCACTTTTCCTGAACATTTCCTCACTTTGGCCAGGGAATATCAATAAGAGTCAAACTAAAGTCTAATCGATTCGAGCTTGTTTATCTTGATCAACATCTGTAAACAGTAATGTATAATGTGTTTCTTGGCTTTTCATCCAATCTGATATTTTTTCACTCTTGGCTATTAATAAATGTGTTCATTTCAATTTGAGCCAATATCAATCAAACAAATATATTTTTAATCCCTATTATGCATTTTAGGAATATCGAAGATATCATTGCAGAGAAAGGTGGAAAAGTAATGAGAATATCTAGTGAGGAAATGCAGTTCGTTCCTAAAGAGAATACTGAGAACAGCTAAATAAAATTATGAACCATACTTTAATAAAGTTACCTTGAATAATATTATTGTTTTGAAATTCCTGTTTGAATTAACATGTTCCTGTTTATTTCCAACAACACTATGCCTAATGAGTTTATTTTAAGAAATGAGAAATGATCCACCCAGGTTTTGTTAGTATAACATCACTTTCATCTTAAAACATACAAATGCACAAGCATTAATTTGATATATACATTGGTAAAGATACACATTTATGAACCTTTCCTATGCATAATTTCTGTCTTTGAATTTTCTTGGAAGTTCTGAATCTTCCTTTTTTGTCTCTTTTCCATTTCCCTTTTTATCATCCTCTGTCTGTGCAGGAGGCCGAACCAATCTATGGAGGCTATATTTGACATCCATCCAAAAATTTCCAAGCATGCCTTTTGCCTCACCTTCAAATCCATCACCTTCTTTTACCCCTTGTGTCATTTGAAATGTGGATGGTGGTTTGTCTTTCTTGTCATCTAAATTATTAAAGATTATTGACATATGTGTAAGAATAACTTTGCAATCAAGTTTTTTGTTTTTAATTATGCCTTTTTGTTCACAAATAAACTAAAGTTGCCCTGCAATTGCTACCATGTGTGTTTCAAACAGGAGTACTTTTATTATATTCATAAAGAAACTAATATTTATCATTCTACAGTTTGGAGATGATTTTAAGGTACCATAAGTCCAAAGTAAGTGCCTCCATGGAAAGTTTACTTTTATACCTCAATGTTCTAATCGCTGACAAATATAATTGGCACACTCCTTATATGAGCACCCTTTCTTCAAGTTTCCTTGGACGAGTGTCATTTTTAAAATGATAAAAAATCAATTTTGTATTGTGAATCTTGATGGTATTGTGGGCCAAACAAATACAGACAAGCTGATAAAATGCCTGGTTTCTATATGATTGCAGGGGTTGCTGGTGAAGCAACGATTGCAAAGAATTGTGAATAGCGATCATTGTGTCGTAATGGAAACTGAAAAATTACTGAAGAATAACTGAAAAACTGGAAAATGGTTGCCAGCAGTTGTCGTGTATGAGAAATTGTTTAATGGAAATTAGACAAGCACGAATTCCATCGATGGGGGCATCCCTATCAAGTAACATGTATCTTTTCAAAGTCTTTCTCTTGAAATCAGCGACTGAGTTTAACTAATCAAAAATGGCGTTTGCAGCATCTGAAAACTTTGATAAAATGGGAGAAGTGCATAAAGGTGATTGCAAATATAGCTTGAACAGTCGAGACAACAAAAAATGGCTAGAGGCAAGTTATCTTAACCCCTCTACTGCAGAAATAGGTTCCCTTCATCTGCAAGGCTGCTTTATAATGTAAAGGAATACTTGAAAAGAATACTTGGAAAGAAGATGCTCAGTCTTTCAAATGGCACTCCTGTGAACCTTAAAACAAATGTTATGCCTAACAAGTTTACTTGCTTCTATTTCTGAAATCATTAAAACAGCCATCTTTGCTATCCATTTTCCCCAATCCTGCCAATTCTAGGTTGCCTGAACTCTTCACAATTTGAACCGTTTTCAGAATTCACCTAGAGAAAAATTTTTCTGTCATGTTTATGAAGAATTTGTTTTAGTGTATGGAATGCCACCGAATCTTTTCTGTCAAGTTGCAAAACTGTCTCACCGAGAATGTGCGCTCTTTTGTTCAGACGATCGTTGACTGTCTTGAGCTACGGCAGTATCGAAAAGTTGTTACCTTTTAAAAAGTTTTTGCTCTTGTCTTCACCCGCCTTTTAGAGAAATAGCGCCAAAGTTTCAACATAGTGCGACTGATGTAAAGAAGGGAAACAAGGTTTGCTGTGAATTTCAGATCCCGAATTTTTGCTACCGTCTCGCTACCAGCGATCCTTGCAATCATATGGAGACCAGGCTTTGAAAATTAAAAAGGAATGGAGATTGTTGCTTTGATCCAAAATTAATTGCAAAATACTGTTTTCTGTGAGCTCTGCAAAACTTAACTCTGTTGAATTTTTATCTTACCTATTAAAAAAATATATCAAAGAGTATAAGTAATCTGCTCTGAAACTTGTTGGTGAAGTCGGGGCACCCCAAGGCTCGTGCCTAGGTCCTCTTTTCCAGTCTGCAATTATTTCACAACAGTGTTTGTTGATTTCCATTGCAGTCCTCAATGGAAAATAACAAATCTTTTGCTCTTATTATCCCACTTACCCCTTTTACATAAACTCGTCGTTCTAATGACCCTTTCTTTATTTCGGAATCTCTTCCGCAATTCCGACAATTTCTCTAAATTTTTTTCCCACTTGTCAAATACTTTACCATTAAATTCAAAAAGTGCGCAGGTTATTATACAATATAATGTTAATTCCAGCTGTAAAAGTTACTATTTAGCTTGTTAAGTTTTAAAAGAGATGCATATTTAAGTAAGGCCTATTTTATAAACTTGTCTTCGCTTCATGTTATTCACTCTAACCACTTGAATATAAAATACTCTGCACTTTGTAGGTAGAAACAAAAGTTAGAAATTAAAGAAATCTTCTATATTGATAAATGCATTTTGTTATTACAAACATGAACTCGTAAAATCGTAAATTTTTTTGCGCTTATTGCCACATGCTTTATGTCGTGATCGATATTCCCTCATTGCGATTTAATGCAAAGAACAATTAAATTTCTCATTACTTACTTGGACCACAAGCAAACGCTGTAGCAATAATGGCCAATGCCACGATAAAGTTCATTGTCACTGCCATTCTGCTGCTTTCCTTGATGCCGTTGCCAGATACAACTGTGCAGTTGTCTTGTTATGTCGTCTTATTTATACTCTTCGGTGTTTACCCTTGCA